TGTGTGTGTGTGTGTGTGTGTGTGTGTGTGTGTGTGTGTGTGTGTGTGTGTGTGTGTGTGTGTGTGTGTGTGTGTGTGTGTGTGTGTGTGTGTGTGTGTGTGTGTGTGTGTGTGTGTGTGTGTGTGTGTGTGTGTGTGTGTGTGTGGTGTGTGTGTGTGTGTGTGTGTGTGTGTGTGTGTGTGTGTGTGTGTGTGTGTGTGTGTGTGTGTGTGTGTGTGTGTGTGTGTGTGTGTGTGTGTGTGTGTGTGTGTGTGTGTGTCGTGCTAAACATGATACCGTTCCAGCCAATTCTCAATCTCGGCAAATGTTTCATGTGGCTGATATTTAAAAGATTACATGAAAGTACAAACGCGTGCTTGCTGATCTCTTGTCGTCTGTGCGTAATAAAATCATGAAAATGAAAATTGCGACGAATTTTGCTCTTTACTGTGAATACGGCACAGCACTTTTGCGAATGCAATACCCCTCCCCTCACCACACACACACTCAAAGCTTGCGTCGGTCCTAAATGTTAGTCCAGCCACCCAGAGACGTGAACGAAAAGGAATTCAATATCCCTTCCCCTCTCCCACACACACTCAAAGCTTGCGTCGGTCCCAAATGTTAGTCCAGCCACCTAGAGAGAAGATCGAAAAGGGAAAAACCGAAACCCTCCGTTTTCTTCAAACATCTACATATTTTCGCCGTCCACGAGTTCTTTAAACGTCTATGCCACGCGGGGCGCTAAAAAAAGCACCGGTGACTTTTGGAGCAGAACAAAAAAAGTATTCCTAGCACCGCCTCCCCCTCCCCCCCCCCCCCTTCCCACTGTCGTAAGGCCCAGCCCAGTCCGTGACTGGTATGAGCGGAGCTGTCCGCACGGCATTGCGTGGCCGGGTGCCGGTGCGTTCGTCCGGCACACAATCCCTGTGGCACGTAGCAACATCCCCAAAAGTCTGAGGTAGAACCATTTCTTATTCAAATTTTCATGCACCGCCACGAAGCAAATGCTAACCTTCCAAGAAGCGTGGATGTGGATGGAGAGGTAGCGGTCCCGGGTCCCTGTTTAAACACCGAAGCGCATTCCACCCGCCAGGGATTGGCGGCCATCGCGGGCCCCGCCCAGGCCTCGGTCACGAGTGGGGCGGTGATGCGGTGTCCGAGGTGGCGCCGAGCATGCATCATTCATCCGGCGACGCGCCAGCCTGACGTCTGAATCTGCAGCTGTCGCCGTGGGCAGGTGTCGCTCATGCAGACGCCGCGGCACGTCCGGCTGTCAGGCCCACGTGCCGGCTGTCACTCCGCTCTCGCCTCGCGTCGGCCGGCGGCAGCTGCGCGGGAGCGTCGCAGCTGCCCCCCCCCCCCCCCCCTAGTGGCGGCAGAGACAGGGCAGTGTCAAGTGACCCGGGAGCCTTCGACGAGATGCGGCGAGGAGGGGGAGGTCGTGGGGGGATGGCGTCGCGCAGAGTGTCGTGCTGCGAGGAGCCGGAGGCCGCGCAGGATTGCGTGTTACGGCCGTTGGAATGTAGTCATCCGAGACTGCTTGACACGCACCGGAGGCCGGGGTTGCTCGGAAAGCCCTAATCTGATCCCAGATTCGGCGGTCCTCAGGCACGACATGGGCATCGAACAACGCTGCGCCAGCCCCATCTTTCGAAACCTGATGCTCGTAAACTCGAGTTGCTTTGGCTATGGGAGCCCTTGAGGTCTGTTTCCGAGGTAACCGATGCCAGGAAGGTGTTGCATCGAACAAACACACTTTTTATGTGGACTGTTTTTGGTCATTTCTCACTTGGAAAGCACTCTGAGTTTCTAAAGCGATGCCTCACTCTTGAGCCGAGGCTGACGAGACTTTCGAATCCAATGTATTACGAGTGTGGGTAATTGGGTGTGTGGCAGTGTGCAACACAACATACCTTTACAGCAGCACAGCCATTTTGAGTATCCACCAGTAGGAAAGCTGCGGTTTCTGAATGGAGCACGTCGGCAGTTTGCAGACGAAGCGTAGCAACGTCATTCATCCGCTCTCATCTTTTGGGGGCTCGGGCGTCTTTGCTGGCTAGTTGTGGTCATTTCGAAGTCCGAACATATGAACGTCGTGGCGAAATCGGATTTACGAGACGGTATAGCCGTCGGACCGAGCCTAAATACAGCTGGTCTGCGCCGGAACCGGTCTGGGCCGTGTGAGCAGTTGTAGCGCACATCGTCCGCCGACTACACCTCGCCGTCACCGGATCCGGGGCGGGAGGGGGGAGGGGGCCGGTGGCCGCCGGGGGTGGCAGGAGCAGCCCGCTCGAGGACGGCGGCGCGCCCGGCCAGCTCACCTGGCCCCTCTGTACCCCTGTCTCTCACTCAGAGTAAAGTCCGAGGAGCATTTTGGCGCCTGCATCGCCGTCGTTCCGGCGACTGTCGGCGCGTGCCTGCGGTGGTCGGCCGGCGGCCGCAGCCGCGCCGCCGACACGGGGCTCCTAATGCGACACGCGCCGGTTCGGGGAAGCCATCGGCGCCGGCTGGCGTCCGCCGCCGGCCGGGAAGGCGCCGGCGACGCCGGACGGGCTGCACCCCGCGCGCGCTGACGTTTATGATCGGACGGCGGCGGCGGCGGCGGCGCGAGCGACCGGCGATTCGCTCGTGCTGGCGACATACTCCCCCCTGCAGTTTCCGCGCCGGGTGTGGTGCTTGTGGCAGACTGGGCGTTGAAGTTTCCACTGTCATGCGGCGATGAAGTCCCCGCGTAAGAGCCCGCCTTGTGACTGGTCGCTTGGCGAGTCCTTGACTGCCCGGTTTTGTGTCTCGATCCGAATCTGAGCACCCCAGCTACAGTTGCGGTGCGATAGTGGAGCAGTTTTTGATGATGCGTAGCGGAAGCGAATTTAGCAGAGCAATTCGCATTCAGCAGAATGGAGATCAGTGACGTCAGTGTTGTGTACGTTTGTGAGGCGTCCACTCGGCAAACACACATGCTGCACGCAGCGGTACTCCGGCAGCGGCGGGGGCAGTCCCAAACATACCGCACGCAACGGCGCTGCGGCAGCGGCGTGGCAGCCCGGAGCGTTACCTGGAATTCCTTCACCCCACTGTACGACGCATTCGCATGCATGCCGAAGCCATTGAGACTCCGTAAGACGTGCATTACCTATGCCCAGAGCGCTGCATTGCAAATCAAGGTAGTAAAATCCCGTGCACCGCCCAGCCCCTTCCGGACGGCTTCCGGTGGAGCTGAGCGTGACCTTGGTAGTCTCTCGTTTGAAGCGATGTGGGAAATATTTTGCGGAGTTTGGTGTCATGGCAGCGCGTGTCCAGTGCCGGATCATTGCATCACAGGGTTGAATGAGCGTTAGGGGGGAAACTAACCAACATTGTATAAAAAGCTGAAGCTAGGTGCAAACCATCTAGGTATGAGCCACAAGCCATCGCTTCATTTCATAAAGTTAATCAACCAAATTAAAACCACATTGAACGTGCGCGTGACCGATTTCGCACCGAAACGTGCATTACGCGCTCACGTTTCTGCATAGATATTACAGTTTTTGCATAACCCATCCAAGTGCCGATGCATGCCTTCCCAAGTGACTCAGGCTGTAGTCTCTCATGCCAGTGTCTGCGTTCGAACTAGAAAAACACACGCCAATTTAAAACGGAACTTCATGCTTTTTGCTGCGGAACGATAACAAACGAAATAGCAGTTGAAGCTCGTTCGCGCTCTAATCGTCACGAAATGGTGCCGCCACGAAGGAATAACCTGGCATATGTTCTCTAATACATGAATAGTAGATTCGAAGCTCAGAACATCGTCACCTTTACTGAATTTTAGCTATACGTACCTGTTTATTCCTCCCTGTCTTCCTTTGTGTTCTTTACTGTCCCGATTCCCACGTGATTCCCAATCGCTCCAGATCAAAGCGAAATTTGCTGTGGGTTTCCGATGACAGCTTTCGAAGGTTTTCTATGCAACTGTGCGACGTAGCTGTCTACATGAATTACCGTTTTCCGGGTGGATGGCAGTCGAACAAACGCTCACTATCCTTCTGCTGGAATGCTTGCATCGATTTTTTTTCGTATGGCCTCATTGTCCGTAGGTAGCGACCTCCATGGCACATTTTCCGCCCACCGCAGCCAGCGTCATCGGTCTCTGCTCACTGAGGCAGCTGCGTGTGCACGAGTTCAAACAAAGCCCGCACGCTCATACCCACAACCTCCTGTTGTTTTTTTCGCATGCCATGCAAGCAATTCCAACCAACTCGCCGTGTTTGCTCCGAGTTCGTGCATGTTACGTGACGTCCGGTGGCCGTCCCACTGACACGTGACGCGAGGCGGACGTTGAGGGGCAGAGGTGGAGGTCTGGCCACTGTTCCGGCCCTGCCAGCGGCGCCGGAGTCATCACCGCCTCCGAAGCCGAAGGCGCAGTATTGCGGTTGCCGAGGTGTCCTGACCTTCTGTTGGATAAGCTGCCTCTGCTCCTTTGGATAAACTGCCTCCGCTCCTAATTCCCAGAGAAGCCAGTGCGCACCGGGAAGACTGTGGCTTAGTGTCTGCTGACTGCAATGGGTCCCCTGGCGAGCCTGCTCGCTTCACCTGCGGATCATGCTACCACCTGACGCCTTAGGCCGTCAGCTCTGTGAACGGGACCACATCGATGATGAATGACGGTGTTACATGGATCAGATTAACTACTGCGTCTCACATTTCTCATTACCTCCCCCGTCTTACAGCAGTGCCGTTTCTCTCCGCCGGAGGACCGGAAGGTAGAGCTCTGCGCTTAGGAGCCGCGTCGGTGATTGACCGGCCGCCTCCTTCCCCGCAGAGCCCGCTGACCGGATGCCGTGAGTGAGCGCGGCGCGCCATGTCGAAGGACGCGAGTGAGCGGCGGCGGCTGCGTCAGACGGCCGCCGTCCTCCTGGCGTGCCACCTGCTGGAGCTGGCGCTGACCGCCTGGCTGACGACCGACCTGTGGCGCCAGCAGCGGCGGCCGCAGCTGATGGCGCTGCTGGCGCTGCTGCTCGCCGCCCAGCTGCTGGTCGGCGCCGCCAGCCTCGTCTGGGTGCACCGCCAGCTGCGCTTCGGCGACCGCTGGGCCGGCCGGCTTCTCTGTTACCTGCTGCACGCGCTGGGCGGCGCGCTGCTCTGGCGCGCCTGCAAGCTGCTGCTAGCGTTCGACGCGCGCGACGTGCGCGAGTTCGCCACCCTACGCCACCTGCTAGTGCACGCGCAGACGCTGCCCGTGTGCCTGACGCAGATGTACGTCAGCTACCTCAGCGGCAGCATCGGGCTGTTCCCGGCGGCGCCGGTGGTGGCGCTGCTGGGCAGCGGCGTCACGACCATAGTGCTGGCTAGCTCGGTGTTCTCGCGCGCCAACGGCGGCGGTGCGGCCGGCGAGCGTGGCAGCACGCTCAGCCTGCCGACGCTGCCCGAGCCGGCCGACAGCCCGCTGGCGGTGCCGCGCGGCGCCGCCGCCGACTGGACCGGCGCCGACGACGCATGGAGCCGCCTGCTCGTCGCCGTGCAGGCGCTGTGCCTGCTGTGGGCGCGGCTGACAGCGCTCGCCACGTTCGCGAGCCTCTGGCTGGCGTGCGCCGCCGGCGTGGTGGCCGCGCACTGGGCGCTGGCCGCTGTCTGGCTGGCGGCGCAGCAGTACCTAGTGGCCGAGCAGCGCTCGCTCCACACCAAGGCCGTCAGGGTGGCCTTCCTCGCCTATCTGCTTATCTTCGACTGGCAGGTACGGCAGCGCGCCCCGCTCTGCTCTCGTAGCTGATGCTGTGCTTGGGGTTCACCTTTGTGCTAGTATAAATATGCACGCATTTGCATTCACGTGTAATGTTGCTGTAGTAGATATTCCCATGCAAGCAAGCCACGCGTAATATAATCCCGGTCACACCACTGGGCGTTTGCTCGTAATAGTTCTGCCCGACGACCATTTCATCTCTCGTTCCTTGTTGAGCCTCAAAGTAAAATTAAACAAGACGATAATGCCAGTGATAAGAAAAGATAGCACCTCAAATACATAAAGTTTATGCTACAAGCGCTGGAGGATAGCACTGCGCATATTTTGGCTCGTGTGTCCCTGCTGCGCCCGACTCACCGCGCCTGCGCCGCAGGTGAACCGCGACTCTGGCAGCGCGATGACTGTGTGCGCGCGCCCGCGAGCGGCCGCCGCCTACTACCTGCTCATCGGCGTCGAGAACGCCGTGCTGCTGGGGCTGTGGGTGGCGTTCTCGTCGCACATCCCGCACACCAAGCTGGCGACGGTGACAGGCGCCGCCGCCACGTTCTCCGTCGGCGCCGTCATCCTGGTGATGCTCTACTGCTACTCGGCGGAGGCGGCGCTGGCGGCGCCGGCCGATGACGTGCTGGCCGTGCACGCTGGAGAGAAGGCACAGCCGTGCGCGGCCGACTCATACGTCGACTACAAGCTGGAGGAGGAGGAAGAGGCGGCGGCCGAGCGGCGGCGCCGCGTCGGCAACCTCTATACGGCGTTCCCGGTGCTGTCGCGCTCCGACCGCTCCACCGACAACCACTCGGCCAACTCGCGCAACACCAACACGCTGTGCGACGCCGAGGCGACGCACGCCGAGCCGCTGGTGCTGCACGTGAGCCGCGCGCGACCCCGCTCCCCGCGCTCCGACACGGCCAGCTCGGCGTCGCGCGCTGTGCTGGCGCACTGCGTCACCAGCACGCCCAAGCGCGCGCCGTGGGAGAAGACGCCGGCGCGGCGGGCGTCGCACGTGTGCGCTGCCGGTGTCGCCTGCCACTGCCGGCTCTTCGACCGGCAGCCGCGCCTGCACGTGCTGGAGCCACGCCACCCGGCCGGCTGTCACGCGGCTGCCGCCGGCCGCCCGTTCCGCGTCCTCTGCGCCGGCTGCCTGCGCGCGCACGACCCTCTGCTGACGGCCTGCGGCCGCGCGCCGGCCGCCACGGCGCACGTGCACTGCGCGCCCGCCTCGACCGCCTCCACCACCGATTACCCGTCTGACTCGGAGGCGTCGGAGCGCGCGTCGGTGAGCTCGTCGGCGCCGTCCTGCTCCACGTACACCACGTGGCCGCCGCGCTCGGCCGTGGCGCCCATCTCGTGGCTGCTGCCGCCCGACCTGACCGGCCGCGAGTACGTGCAGGCGTGGCTGCAGCTGTGCGGCCCGCGCACGCCGCCCGACGGCCGGCCCAAGAAGAAGCTCTGCCGCCGTCAGCACGCCGACTGTCCGCAGGCGCAGGGGCGCGCCGCCTGCGGACCGCTCAGTCCGCCCGCGCCCCGCCCGCGCAAGCAGTCGCGCAAGCAGAAACTGAAGGGTGTGCTGCTGCGCAATAAACTCTGCAAGCGGGCAGGGATGTTGCGCGCGAGGAGTGTCTCACCGCGCCCGAGCGGCAACCGCTGCGAAGCGACGCCAGCGCCCCTGGCGGCGGGTAAAGCGGCGGCGACAATGCCTCTGGCGGCCGCGACCCATGTGCCGACTTTTGTACAAAACGTCGAGGCTTATGTATAGTTATTGTCAAAGCGGTGCCCAATACCTCAGATATCGTGGGCAGATCGGTGAATGAGGTTGTGCCCCGCGTTTGGACGCCAGGCTCCCGCCACAGAGACGTGATCACGCTCTGAGCCGGCTGGAGAGCGGCTGGTTTTGATGGTGGCCTACGGCCGCCCTGTTGCTGCAGTAGAGCATCGCAGGTATTGTGGCGTCAACGGGTATTTCTGTGCGAGTAGCCATGTTGTACGAAGTGCTGGGCGGCACATGGTGACGTATTTTTTCACCTCATCGTTTGTTCTCGTAGGTAGGCGTCTTTGACCATTTACGTTCTTAATTTGAGTCTTGCAGGCATGCAGACATGGCTCTTTGGGTTTGGGGCGTTAATTTGGTCCGGCCTGGTACGCATCGAAGCCATTTCGATCAGTGCATCTGTTCAATAGAAAGACAAACGGCGCGGTTGCTATGACCGTGGACGCATCATAAGGCTAACTAGCATTTTTACTGGGACTCTCCTCCAGCCTGCGCGCTGATTTCGCCCCTCGCAAGCCTCCGTTGTTCCGATGGTTTTTTTCCTGATAGCTGTGGACTGTTTAAACGTCACTCATGTGTAGAGCTGAGGTTGTGAAGTTCCTAGTTAACCGCGTACTGTTGTGGACCCATGGCAAGCTGCTCTAGTCACGTGTCAAGTGCAGTAAATCTCCTGTGCTCTGCCAACCACACATCGATAGCATGTCCTGGCATCGGCAATGTGTAATGTTTGGTGCTTGCCGCGTTGCCGGTGCGGTGTGCACAGAGCTCGCACCATCTACAGACGCTCCTCAGTGAGCTAGCAGGTTGTGCCACGTTGAGAGCGTCATCTATAGATGGCGCTCAGGGCGTTTTGCCGTGCCAACGACGCACCACCACTGTAGAACGTGCGTGGGCGCTAAGCCGTCTGTCTTGTAGCATATCAGCTATGTCATTGACCAATGTCTGACATCATGCTCGAAATGTTCCGAGAGCAGTTACCTCCGAGAAGTGCCATCATTGCATCGACACTGCTCTTGCCAGGTTGTAATGCTTGCGTAATAAACGTTTAGGTTTGAATGGGCTGAGTTTTCGCCGCACGAAAAAACGCGACGCATTTATTTTCTGCCTGGAAGAGGCGAAGACTCAGACTGCAGGTTTGCAATGCTTCTGACGTCATTGCGGTCAGTTGTCATTGCGGTCAGTCATTGCGGTCGTCAGGCTTCATGTCTGCATGGAGGTGTGTGCGCTTCGATCTTGTGTGAGCCACGGCTCGGTTGCCCAGAATTCCATCCTGGTGTTTCGGTAGCACGCGATGGTTACTTTCTCTTGGCTGAAAGGAACACACGGGCCACCGAAAACACCTGAAGTGGTAACCGGCTGCGGCCGGTGTCTGTCGAAGACGGAAAATTCAGTAAGTCAGCCAGGATATGCGTAGAGCGCTGGAGCACCAGCTCCATGGTAGGTATCGGTAGTGTTGGAAGGACAATGATCCTGGCAGAGGGCTTACATGCGCTTATGCGGACCGCCTCCGACACGATGACGCGTTAAGCTATGTGCACTGGTCCTATGGGTTCCCTCTCAATTGTTCAACGCGACTTTTGCCGATCGTCGGGGTGCGGTTATGGGGTAGAGGCTGAGTCGCTCACCTTTGCCAAATATCTGGCGTCGGTCCGATGGGTGTTGACAGGAAAGAGGTAATAAAAATATTTCGCTCCCTGCACGCGACTTGGAAGAAACTCCGCCTTCCAGGGCGCACCTGGACAATCGAGTTATCTATATTGCTGTGGGAGGGACAAAGTCGAGGCAGGTTAACATATCTATACAACTAAACCGAAGAAAAATGTCCATGTATGCAAAAATTAGGTATAGCTCATGCTTGCACGACAAACATACAGTCTGAAACACTATGTTGCTAGCTTTATGCACAGTGCAATGAACTGCACTGCGGAGGTTGCCACGAAATATCACCGCCCGGATCCGCAAACTTAAAAGGATTTACTTTGGCACTGCTTATCGGTATGTCGTCTATATCTTCCACTGAAGAAAAGTTGAATGGTCTAACATTAATATTGTTACGACAAGCACGTGTTTTTTTCACCAAAAAAACAACTGCAGGAAGTACACAAAAGTGTTGAAATATGGTAGGAATATGGCTGCATTGAATGCTCCGGATTTGACGCGCAAGAAACGCTTATGACTGCCGAAAAAAGAGGGCGCGAAGGTGCGGTAGTTGTTAATATCGTTAATATATTATTATCTGCCGTCCCTGTCCGCTCACGTTGGTTTTTGGCCAGTGGTTTCCGAGAGTAGTTATCGGGGGAAGAATTGTGTGGGGGTGGAAGATATTTTTGATTCTTGGACGGTAGCGAGAGCTGTCTCTTTGGTAAGTTTTTGTACTGATTTGTTCATTCATGCGCATGAGGCTGGCCCGAAAGCTGAGAAAATGTCTTCAGCATTACGTAAAGTTGTGCAGTCTTGGCTTCCTGCCATTTATGTCGTAGTTGTAGCTTCCTGTACTGGTACAGAGTATCACACTATCCAAGCATGCTGCTCAGGTGTAGCCTTCATTGCAATCTCTGATAAGTTGACTGATTGTACAACATGCTTGACACGCAAGCAACTTTCACCTTGTTTCACTAGAACAAGTTGGCTGGGTATGTTGAGGGCATTGTGGCTTGGAATTATTATGGTATTCAAACTCCTGGAAATATTGACTATCCATGTGCTGAAATATAGGGAAGATTGCTAAAATAACTTAGAAGTGTGCAATGAATCAGCATGCATTGCTGCACCAAATGTTGGGCAGTTGACTTAAAGGTATGTATGCAGTTAAATTGCCAACAATTATGATGGAATGTTTGGCACAATCATATAGTTGGGCATTCTTTCTTCCCAACTGTAAGGATCCCTGAAGGATGGAAGGAAAAGTTACAGTCATAAAGAGAAATGGGAGTGCCTCTTTATAATATGAAGAAGGTCAAGATGTATGCCAAACATACATTGACCTAGTAGGTTTTCTAGCGTTAGAAATCATCTGATATAAGAATATGAATATTTGTTATTTTAGTTTTGCATGCACTGTAATGAGCATGCTAAGCTTGATATACATACATTTTACTTACTTAAGCTCAAATATTTTAGGAAGTGTGGTCATATAGTGTGCACATCATTGCAATAGCATTCAACCAAATATGGAGATTGATTCTCCTTGCCAGCTAATATAAAAAACACTTGACTTCTACTTTGAAGTATGATTGCATTTTCATCTCAACTTACAGATAGTGGAAGTTAAAGTGCAAGATCAAGATGAATGATGGAAAGTGTGTGGAATATGACTAATATTAGGTGTCTGGAATTTGATTAATATATAATTTTGCTGTTAAAACTGTGCTCTTTGAAACATGCATTAAGATATCAGGAAATATGCCCTGTGCACATTTCAAAGCAAATGTGTTTGTGATATGCTTGATGCATATGAAATGCGACTTGGTCAGATTTATAAGCTGATTCAAATCCCCAGTCCAAATGTCTGGCATTGAAGCAGACTTACAGAATTTGTTGGGAGCAGACTGGTTCAGCTGGCCTGATATGAAATTTTGAAAAATAAACAAGTGTTATGAGCCTTATATTTACTCATGATGGTCAGAACCTGCCACAATGCACTACCAGCTTGAAGTCCTGTTTTTGTTTCAAAAAATCAAGCCCACATTGAGGAGGTCCTGGGAATATATTGTATGCCTCCACATTATGCTTGCTCTGTAGGTGTTTATGCCAGAAGGCAATTTGGTTGCCAGCAAGGTTAGCCTGGATACAAAATGGGGTCAAGGAGTTTTGGTGTTTTGATTTTTTAAAATTTGTCAACCTGTGGTAAGGCAGGCCAATGAATGACCTTATTATTAATTAAGAATGGCTTTATTGTTGGTCATAGACCAAGCCACAGCTTGGTACCACATCCAGGTTTCTTCTCAAAGTTTGGTGTGTATGTCCGAGGACAAGAACAGTTGTGCTGCATGTCTGTCATTGATGTGCTATTGTTGCATCAAAATAGACCATGCTGCTGCTGCTGGTATTGAATCACATCATGTGTTTCCACATCTCAATCATCTGTCAACAGCTGCTCAGAAATGATGGCTGGAACTGAGGATGAAGTTTGGTATTCAATTGGGGATGGCTCGTCCCCCCCCCCCCTAATGTGGAAGGGGAAATGGGTCAGATTTTGCGAGAATGTGGTATATTTCAGGGAGGTTTAGCTTTTTCTCCCTCTCCAGTCCCCCAACTTATGTTGTAACACCACGCGCCTGGCTGGAACCACGGTGCATCGAGGACCGGGACCAGCGAGTCCCGCACCGTGATAACTAGTCGCGACGAGCTAGACTGCTGACGCGCCCGCAGCGCGCCTGTGACTCAGAGCACCGCGTCGTCTACCTCGCACTCGGACGATTATTAACTGGCGATGGAGGCCGGGCGCCAAGTGTTGCTTTTTAGCGCGCCGGCCGGCCAGTTGTCCGAGCGGCGGGAACACCTGCGGGCGGTGCGGGGCCGGCGACCGAGACCCAGTGTTCGTCCGAGTCCCGGCTGTGCTGCCACGCCGCAGAATGCGGTCCGTCCTCCTGCCATCCCTGCTGCTGCTGCTGGCGCTGCTGGCAGCGCCGCGCCCCGCCGCCGGCCAGGAGACGGCCGCGCCGCCGGAGGTGGGCGCCGCCGACGCCACCGCGAGTCCGCCGACGGTGCCGGAGGACGGCGGCGAGCGGGCGCCTGAGCCGGCGGCCGCCGCCGAGAACAGCACCGAGGCGGAAGGACCCGCCGCCACCACCGAGGCGTACGACAACGCTGAAAACGCGACCGATGCTGCCGACGTCATGGGCAACGTCACCGACGTCATCCGCATCATGAACAACGTCACCGACGACGTCGATGTTATGAGCAACGTCACCGATGTCACGAGCAACGTCACCGACGTCACGAGCAACGTCACCGACGCGACGGTGGCGCCGACAGACGGCGGCGGCAACCACACGGACAACTCGCTGTCCTGCTTCGTGTGCAACTCCGCGGACGAGCCGCTGTGCGAGGACCCGTTCGACCGGCCGGCGGCGGAGGCGGCCGGCCTGCTGACCGTGTGCCCGGCCACGCCCGGCCTGCGCCGCGTCTGCCGCAAGGCCTGGCAGCTGGTGCCCGGCGACACGCGCACCGTGCGCACGTGCGGCCACGACAACGACGCACGCGTCTGCTACGTCACCACAGCGGCCGACACGGCCAGTCACGTGTGCCACTGCTTCACGGACGGCTGTAACGGCGCCCCGGCCGGCCGCGCCGCCGCCGCCGCGCTGCTGCTGGCGCTGGCGGCGCTCGGGGCCGTGTGGTGAGGAGCGCGCTGAACGTGCGCATCCGCGGCTCCCCCCAGGGGTCAGCCAGAGGATGTCATTGGTCACCGCCGTCTGCGTGGTGGTGTCTCCTGTCCCCGTACGCCGATGGCAGACGGCTCTTTTTCGCGTAATCTGATACCGGGTGTCTCTTGCTCGCCCGCCTTTACCCAGCGATTCATGGACGGAGGGTGTCTGTTGGTGTGCATGACCCGGTCGAATGCACCGCCATGCGACGTCTCTTGTTTCCGTGATCCGGTGGCGAGCTGGCGCCGGCGTGGTCTTAAACGAGGACGACACGGTCACGCGTCGTGTTCTGTCGGACGGTCATCGAGCGGTGGTGAACTGGTGGCAGCCGGCGTCCGGCTGCCGGGCGCGCCGCGGGTGTTTTTTTCCATCGATGGCGGCCCGCGTGACCTTCATGCGCAGTGTTGCGGCGAAAAGGATGACGTGACCCCGAATTCTGTTTGGAATGTCTAGTCAGCTCGGTTGGTTTACGATGGTGTTGGTTTGTTTGGTGTGTATTTAATGTTCGTTAATGGACTGTGTACTTCGCAAGCCTGGCTGTCAATAAACGCCGAATGAAAGGAAAAATATGTATTCGTATGAATGAAATATTGTCCTGACCTCAAGGGCACGTGATGCCCCTTATTCTGTCCCACGTTCCCCCACCTAACGGCAGCAATATTATGGTCGAACCCGTAGCTCCTCCTGACGACTAACAGGCGGTGCATCAGCCGTACAGCTAGCTCCTCCGGTGCTGGCAGCGCGGTTGATGCTAAATTCCGCCCGTAATTAGCTCAGGTGGCGTTTAATGACTCTTGGCTGGCGTCACATCTGCCGCCGCGCCACAGATTTGCACGTTTCTATGCGTCACAGCAGCCCACAATTGCTGAAGAGATCGGTGCTGAAGTGCAGAAGGTGCTCAGATGCAGTCCGCTGTTGGGACGGATTTGAGATGACGTGAGCTACAGTGCTGTGCTGATAGTGCTCAGGTGCAGTCCGCTGTTGGGATGGATTTGAGATGACGTAGTGAGCTGCAGCGCCGTGCTGACGGTGCTCAGATGCATTCCGCTGTTGGAATCTATTTGAGATGACGTGAGCTACAGTGCTGTGTTGATAGTGCTCAGGTGCGGTACTATGTTGGGATCGACTTGAGATGATGCGGCGAGCTGCAGTGTCGTATTGCGGCACCACGCCGTAGCTCCCTGACTTGGCCGTCCTCACGGGTGTGCAACAGGCTGCCTCCTTGTTTCGCCGCCTGTCCTACTGTGACGCGTCTTGAGATCCTTCATCTAGCTCCACGCGGACGTGCCTGGTTCGTCGACGAGGCCCCCTCGCCGCTGTGATGTTTCCTCAGCACTCCCCCTCCCCACCAGCCAGGGTAGGACCTCTCCCCCCTGCCCCCATGTCGGACCGCCTCCGTGACCTGTTGTCTGTTCCAGCCGCCAACGCCTCCGTGACCTGACGTGACCTGACGTGACCAACCGCCTCCGTGACCTGACGTGACCTGTTCCAGCCGCCAGTCCGGCTGGTGCCCGCGGCCCCCGAGGCGCGGCGGCCATGCTGTGCACGTACGTGGTGCGACGCTGGCTCCGCCTGTCGGCCGCCCGCCACCACGTGGTCAAGCTCACTCCGCAGCAGGTGAGTGGGCGCCCGCGTGACCTGGAGGGAATGCTCCGGGGTGGGGGACTGGAGCCGGACCTTCTTCTGGCAGTCTTAAGAGCCGGAGCGTTTCGCACGACATAACCCGCTCTGTGTCTTTGGAATCGTTAGCTTTTGCTTCTTCGTAAGTTAGTGACTGGGTCTTTGGGACGCGTCAACTGCAGCGGTCATTTATGTCCTGCTCCTTGGTCAATCGGCTGTGCTCGACACGGAGTGGATGACGACAGGACTGATAAGCCGTCGACACGAGCTATGAGAAGATGTCAGCTATTTGCGTGCTAACCGAAGGAATCGTATCTAAGGCAGACAGCAGAATACTGGACTTGGGGAGTGCTGCTGCTGACCAGCGTACGTATGTGCTGACCTGCTGACAAGCCTATGTTTGTGCTGACCTGCTGCTGACCAGCCTATGTTCGTGCTGACCTGCTGTTGGCCAGCCTATCTTCCCGCTGACCTGCTGCTGGCCAGCCGTGTTCGTGCTCACGTGCTGCTGATCAGCCTATGTTCGTGATGTTCGTGCTCAACTGCTGTTGACCAGCTTTGTTTGTGCCGACCTGCCGCTAGTCAGCCTATGTTCGTGCTGATCTGCTACCAGTCAGCCTATGTTCGTGCTGATCTGCTGCTGGCCAGCCTATGTTCGTGCTGACCTGCTGCTGACTAGCCCATGTTCGTGCTGACCTGCTGCTGACTATTTTACGTTCGTGCTGACCCGCTGCTGACTATTTTACGTTCGTGCTGACCTGCTGCTGACCAGCCATGTTCGTGCTCACCTGCTGCTGATCAGCCTACGTTCGTGCTGACCTGTTGCTGATCCGCGCCGACCCGCTCACGCCGCCACAGGTCACCACCATACTGCAGACCAACGAGCACACACACACGGCGGAGGGGCAGCGGGTGATCGACCACTTCGACACGAACCAGCTGCCGTCCAACACGCCGTGCGAGGACATGCGCTCGGAGGCGCGCTGTCGCCACACCGGAGGTGAGAGGGAGCCGGGGCGCCGGCCCGAGCGACGCCACCAGCATGGGACCAGTGCACGGTCCGCTGACGGAGGGATCTCCTGGAGACTTGTGGGATGGCGAAGTCTGCGTGTATTGATGGTGTTGTGCTGCACGCGAGCGTGATGCTTCGTGAATAACACGATGGGGCTTTGTGATGGGTGTAGCAATCGTGTAATGCCAGTTGTTGTGCAACTTTACTTGCTGTCCATATCTTACAGCGAGCCACCTGCACTGGAAGGCTTTACCGCGCAGTTGCGCTTGATATCGCGTCGAACCCCTAAACATCATGCCGCGAGCTGTGCCCGCAGATCCGCCCGCGGCGCCCTGCACAAACCGTCCGTCTCCTGTCGTGGCGCTGCTGACGCCGCGGCGCCGTGTGCCTTCGTCGCCAGACCACCTGCTGGGCGTGTACGACGGCCACGGCGGTCGCGCCTGCGCCCAGGTGACGAGCACGCGCCTGCCGTCGTACCTGGCGGCGTCACTGCTGCCGCGGCCGCAGCTGGAGCAGCACCTGGCGCGGCTGGAGGCCGGCGACGACGACCAGCACTCGCTGCTGGAGTGGCCCAACGCGTTGCCGCCGTACGCCGACGAGCTGGACGCGCTCCACGAGAGCAGCTATCTCAGGTCAGCCGGCGCGGGTCGCGGAGGCGGCGGCCGGTCGCAGCTCGGCTCTGGGGGAGGTGCGAGGTCAGGCTGGTGTTGTCGGAGGGTGTGAGTGGCGGCCGCCGCGGCTCGGCGTCAGCTGGCTTGCTGGTCACGTGGCCACTCGGTTTCGCCACCGCTTGGCGACGTACCGTTGTTCCAAACGTTTTCGAAACGTGTCTCATTTTCAAGCGCATCTGCTGCTCACAGCGGTCCAGCGAGATGACACAGAATAGAAACGCGTGGAGCAGTCATTTCCGTCTCGGTAAACGTGACACGCAAGAAAGTGGCATTAATGGGAAATAGTAATGCGATTTGGGCTCAGTATTCCTGCGACTTCCCTGAACCTCAGGTGGTCTCGACGCGCGTGACCTCACATGCGCGCTACTGACCGTCCTGTTCACACAGCTGTGTGACCTGGCTTCAGCCGGAGGTGACCGGCCTGATCGCCCCCGTGCCCGCCCCGCAGGTACGTGCGTGACCTGGTGCAGGAGGAGTCGGCGCCGCGTGACGTGGGCCACGGTCTGCAGCGCGCCTTCCTCCGGCTGGACGAGGACCTGGCCCGGGAGGCGGTGGAGTCGGCCGAGCGCGACGATCCGCTGGGCGCGGCCACGCTGCGCGCCGCCGTCTCCGGCTGCGTGGCGTGCGTGGCGCACCTGAGCGCCAGCCGCCTCCACCTGGCCAACGTGGGCGACTGTCGGGCCGTGCTCGGCGTGCTCAACGACAACAACCAGTGGGTGGCGCGGCCGCTGACGAAGGAGCACGACTGCGACAACGCGGACGAGGTGCAGCGCATCACCGAGCGGCACCCGTCGAGCGAGCGGCCACACCTGCTGCGCGACAGCCGGCTGCTGGGCATGCTGGCGCCGCTGCGCGCGTTCGGCGACTTCCGGTTCAAGTGGTCGGCCGAGGTGCAGCGGCGCGTGGTGGCCGCCAGGCTGGGCGGCGACGCCGTGTTCCCCGAGCTGCGCACGCCGCCCTACCTGACGGCCGCGCCCGAGATCACGTACCACAAGCTGGCGCCGCGCGACCGCTTCCTCGTGCTCGCCTCGGACGGCCTGTGGGAGCAGTTGCCGCCCAGCGAGGTGGTGCGCCTGGTCGGCGAGCACGCGCACGGCAAGACGACGCTGACGCCGCTGCGCCTGCCGCGCCGCGACCACACGCTGAACCAGGTGTGTGAGATCCTCGAGGCGCGCCGGCGCGGCATCGGCACCAAGCCACAGGACGCCAACGCGGCCACGCACCTGCTGCGCCACGCGCTCAGCGGCACCGAGTCCGGCCTCAACCACGGCCGCATCTCGCAGCTGCTGACGCTGCCCGACGAGCTGGTGCGGCTCTTCAGGGACGACATCACCATCACGGTCGTCATGTTCGACCCGGACGCGCTGCGGCCCAACTGAGCGTGCCGGCGGCGCCGCCCGCCGCCGGCGGCGAGCGCGGCCGTGGCGGCTGGCGCGGGCGTGCCGGGGTGTCGACGTCGGCCGCGGCCAAAGGTCAGTCGCCAGGGACCCGGCCGGTGGCCGCTCGTCGCGGCGCCGTACGGTCAGCTCCGCTCCGCTCCGACCGCCAGCCTCGGCGCGTCGTCCCCGCGTGCCAGCGCGTTCCATTTGCCGATCTTGGGCGGCGCGTTTGAGTTCCTGCGCCGGTCCTGGGACCCGGCGCCGGGCAGTCCTTAGCCAAATGTCTAGTCTGGGCGTGTACGCGCCGGGTGTGGTGGATCTGGAGGAGGTTCGGATCTGACGCGACCGGTGGCCCTTGCACGCTGCGCTCACGTGTGTGTATGACCGGAGGCCCGCGGCGTGTCCCACTCCAAAGACCCCGAAAAGCCTCGAGTGTGGCGAGCCTGGCGGTGCGTGTTCGCGTCGCGTTGTGTGTGTGGTCGGACTGCGCGCGGACGTCCGTGATGCCACCTGTCCGTGTGTGTACGCTGCTGTTGGTCACAACGACGCCCCTTCGCGTGTGCCTCGACACGTGACCGCGAGAAGACGGATGCCTTGCGGCGCGCCGGGCTTGTGACGTTCCGCTCTCGGTCCGACCTTCTCGGCGCGGGTAGGGCTCTGCCTCCAGGTGGCGCCGCCGGTCGTCGGCGGACAGGAGCGCGGCCTGCTGGCGCCGGAGCGTAGTGCGCGTGAGCTCCGCGGGCGGGGCCGGTGTGGGCCGCCCCCTCGCTGGACCATGTCCGAGGGTCGAGCGAGCCCGGCGGCCGCGTCGGCCCCGCCGGCGCGTCGCGCCGCTGCCGTCTCTGGGGTCAGCGCGCGAAATCTCCGTAGTGCTCAGAATGGCGCGGGTATGACCGCGCAATACGAGTGCCGCACGCACAGGGAGTCCCATCCCCCTCCCCACGGTCAAAAACGCGCTCGGTACGGGTAGGAGCTGGTGCAATGCTTTTCGGATAGCTGACGCGGGTTGGTTGATCGGGTGTCCCATGCGTCCTGCCGCATTGCTGACCTAATCTTCGATATCGTTTCCTCATGAGCGTGATGTCTTGTGCACCATTGGAAATGAACGTCTGTCCGCTGTCACCCGGATGAGATCACATACTAATGGTATCGAAGCGGCGAATTTGTCAGCTGGTGCCAACACCGGTAATGACTGCATTGTGGGGCTTCGCCCGTACGTTTTAGTTGCCGACGCCTTGACATCGCCGCGCTCGTGACACTCCCTGCGCAGCCTCCGCGCGTTCGTGGCGGGTCTTGATCAACTTGTGCCCCGCTTCGTCGGTCAATGGAGGTGTGACTGTGTCTGAGGAATGTCAGTGGCCGTGTTCCTGCACATTGCACGATAGGTGCGGAGCGGCACGGTGCGCACTGGCACGGTACTCGCGAAGCGAACTCCAAGGTTCGGATTAAGACTGTTCGGACCTGAGTTGCAGGCGCCGAATACGGCCGATCTGATTGGTGCCTACAATGCGTCTTCCGCGCGATGTCTAGATTTCGATTGAGTAGCCGTTTGATGTGCCTCGAATCGAGTGATTTGTGTTGAGTTGATTGTGAAATAAACGCACACGGGAATGAAGGCGGAGTTTGCTCTGTGGACCAGCCATATCGGTAGAGTGGTATCCAGTCATGATTTTACGTCTGAGGTATTTCATATTGTGCATAATGAAGTTTCGCTTTGTGCGCTTATCTGTTCCAAACGACAGTTCGCCGTACCACAGATTAATTTATCTCCGATTCTGTGAATACTGTAAGGTGGGCAGAATCACCCTATTGCTTGTTTACAACGTAATACCAAGGTTTCTACTGCTAGTCTGTTAAGTCATGAATGTGTGTCATGACATGCGTGTGTTTCATGTCATGAATGAATGAATGCTTTGTTTACATGCGTGTATTCAACTCCAAAAGCAAGCCATTAGACTTCGTATGAAAGGAATCATCGGGGGAGGGAAAACTATCGGTGAGCGACTGAAATATTAAATAAGAATCTAAGCAAAAACTGTTGACAATCTGACAACTTGCGTAGCACATAATGGAACATGATTCATGTAGACCTGTTGTTATGCAAATCATTTAGCTAGGTTTTCGTGAAGGCTGTGGGCGCAAAGTGGCCTCGATTCCGACGAGCCTGTAAATGATAAACCACCACCACTTTTATGCAAGCAGTACAATCGATATCTCGTAAGCTGCTGTTACCGGAATTGATCCCACCACAGCCGACACACAAGGCCCTATAACAACACGTATTCTTGGCACATATCGTCATACACATATATTCTTGAGTCGACACGTATATTTTTCAGTCGAAGTCGAATCAGGGTTGCGCGTGACTGCAAGTGGTCATAGCCAGGATTTATCCCGTGTGCATTCCTACGTCATGTCGCCTACTGTTGACAGTTTAGTAACCTGAACGACGTTTTGCCCGTTTCGGTTTTGGTGTTTTCGGTTTTGCTGCTGTCAACCCTTTCTGCAAGATTCATAAATAACGCATCTGTCATCGAATCCAGCGCAGGTGAATGTAAATATGCACCTTATAATCATTCGCGTTCGAGTACTGCTGAAGCCAACACGTTCCGGCCGTCTGGGGTGGCGCGTGTTGGTGTCTGGATAAGTGTAGAGCATTTTTGACAGGCCATACGAACGGTGGAAGCGAGTTCTGTGGGGTCACATTTAATTTACTTCTGAATTTCTTCCTGTTTCAAGACTTCGGGTGAATCTCAGTGTAATGTTCTTTCTTCTTGGTGGTGATGGAGTGAAGTGAAGATGACTGGGCCGAGCCGACCCGGTAAGCGAGTGCGTACAGATGAACTTTTCTTTTCTCAGGTAGGGGGGGAATCCTCAGGCTCATACCTGAAAATAACACTCAACTCAGGGAAATCATTCAAGTCCAAAGGTTGGCCATGGATCCAGATGTGCGTGAGAGGAGTTCTGGGAGGCTCTGAGAAGGTTGAAAAGGCGAATCTTCTGGCTGCAGGCAGCCTTCTGATAAAAACCAAAAATCATGGACAGACTGAAAAGTTCATGAAAAACAAAAAGTTTGGGAATGAGGAGTGTGAGGTTGTTCGGGAACAAAGAATGAACACATCCAGGGGAACCATCATTGCATATGACCTTGTAGATTTGTCCGAGACCGAGATTGTGGGATGGCTGGGTGAATTTGGGGTAGTGGGTGCTCGGAGATTCACCAAGAGGGTGGATGGAAAGATGGAGAATACCCCAACCATACTTTTGACATTTGACAGGTCCTCATGCCCAGCCAAAATGGAGCTAGATTACATCACATACCATGTCCACCAATATATCCCCAACCCACTGATATGTTTTGGTTGTGGCAGATTTGGCCACACTGAAACAAGATGCCCTGGTGATCCTCTATGCCTTCGTTGTGGGAAAGGAAAGCATGAAGGGGAATGTGAGCGCTGGTGTGTGAACTGCAAACAGTCAGGACACTCATGCATGGCCAGAGAGTGTGAAATATGGAAAAAAGAAAAGGAGATATGTAAGATTAAAACTGAACAAGAACTCTCATACCCTCAGGCTAGAAGGCAATATGAAAAAGAGCATGACCCCCCTGTCCTGAAGTCATATGCTGCAACTGTCCGGCACCCAAGTGTGGCTCCCACTAACAAGCAGCATGATGACCTCAGGGAAAAAGTAGGAAAACTGGAAGAAAAGGTGGGTGAGATGATTGCTCTGCTTCAGCAACTGCTGATGAAACAAGGTGCCCAGGGGAATACCAGGGGGAGGGATGACAGTACCAGACCTGTAGGTAGACAGGATGAGGAAGTTGAGGTGGATGTTATAGCAGAGGGACAGAAGGACACTCAAAAAGATGAGCAGGAAACCTATGAGAGGAGGAATGATGGAGAGGTTCAAGTGATGCAGAGAGATGATGTAGAAAGTGAAAGAGTGGACAGGGAGATGAATCATATGACTGTGGAGCATAATGAGGAGATGGAGGGTTGGCAGAGAGCATGTAGGGCAAAGAAAAAGGACAAACAACAATGTAACATATCTGAGGTACCTAATGACACTACCCCATCACCAATGATTAGCCGAGCAGGGAGATCTACGGAGAGGCCGAAGAGAAACTCCAGCCAAAGGAGGTCATGGAAGGAAGACTAACTAGTATTGAAATGGAGTGAACCACGTTTCTTTCTTCTTTGTTAATAGCTGAATAGTTTGTTGGTGATTGGTTGACAGGTATGTTGAATATTTGAATGAATAGGCCAGCAAATTCAGACGTTCTCCACGTAACTGTTCTCGTGCGGAGGGCATGCAGAGGTCGGTGGTGTTTGTTTTCATAGTTATTTTAGGACCCTTAATGCCGGGATTGTTATGCGAAATGGTTTGCAAAGTTGAGGGAGACTTAAATAACGAGTTCATGGTGTTTTCCGGAGGCAGCTGCGTTTTCGGTTTGAGCAGAGGTCGCCCGGTTGGGCTAGTCCCAGCCCACTTGGTTCTCGGAGGTAAGGTTAAACATCCAGGTGCGATACCTAATTCGGGTCAGGGGGTGGACGAGCTGAGGTTGTTTGTCTCGTGGAGGTCACCCTTCGGAGGGTGCGGGGTGATCCTTGCCGGGGGCAATGGTACAGGCGCTATTTCCACTCGACCGGCCGGAGCGCGCCTGGTTCCGACCGCGGGGTTGGGGCTGGCTGGGGAGGGGAATAAGGGAAAGGGAAATGTGTATGTACTGAGATGTTTTGTTCGCAGTTACAGGACAAGTAGTACATACCGATGTTTGGCATATTTATTAATTTATTTATCTGATTTTTTCATGTTTTTGGTGGCGGTCCTTTGTTGGATTTCGGCGTTCGGGCTGCGCATTGGTTGTATGTTTGTGTGTGGGGATATGGTACGCGGTACAGGCTACTCGCGTGATTTTCTGATGTTCAAGTTTAAAAGTTCAATAAATGTCGAACTGTTGTCGGCGTGTGTGCTTGACTGGACGGAGTCTGCAGTCTAAGGCAACAATAAAATGACTTTCAGCATTATGCAGTGGAACTGTAGAGGTGTGATTTCAAAGTGGGCGGAGATAAAACCACTGCTGCTGGCAAGACCACATAGTGCCGTATGTCTCCAAGAGACACACTTCCTCCCTACTGACCAATATGATTTCAGAATTCCCGGATATACTCTTTATAACGCTTATTCTGACGCACATATTAGACGAGGCGGAGCATCAATCTACGTCAGCAACGACCTACCTCATTTTCAGGTCACACTAAATACTAATTTTCAGGCGGTGGCATGTTCGGTGACAATGGGGCATTCTCGTATTTGTGTTTGTTCTTTATACTTACCACCAAACGAGAATTTGACGTACCTTGAACTGAACGACTTGGTTACACAGCTACCGCAGCCGTATATCATAAACACGGACGCCAATAGTCGGCATTTCTTATGGGGTGCAGACCGGTGCGATTCTCGTGGAAAGGTGTGGGAAATGATAATACGGCAACATGCCTTAAAAGTGATGAACGATGGTTCCCCAACCAGAATGGACGAGTACACAGGATTATGGTCACATATCGACCTGACTGTGACGTCAAGCAGTGTGGGACAATTCATGCATTGGCAAACGGACACTGACTTACACTCCAGTGATCATCTCCCAGTTTATATTACATATGATAGGTATGGAGATATTCCACCACGACGTGACGAATTTACTGGTTGGAATATTAACAAGGCGAACTGGTCTGAATTTACTGACAGATGTTGTTTGCGATTCAATGAAAGGGACGGTATGCAAAACTACCAAAACATTACGAAGGTTATGCTGGGAGCAGCAAAAGAAAGTATTCCTCGGAAAATCAGAAACACCAAATATAGCTGCCCCTGGTGGACTGACGAGTGCAAGGAGGCAATTCGGGCAAGGAAACGGGCGCTCAATCGATTCCGACGTTCGCACACACATCTGCATTTATTGGCTTATAAGGAGGCGAAGGCGAAAGCCAGAAGGATAATTCGTACGGCAAAGAAAGATTCGTGGGAAAAACTATTGCATATGTTCAATGTGAATACGCCGATACAACACTTATGGGACATCATTAGGAAATTTACCAGAAAGGAGCGATTTGCGAGACCCTTACCTGTTCTGAAGGTGGCTGGTAACATAATTGACGACCCAACTGAAGTTGGAAATATCTTCGGACGGTTGTTTTCTGACATGTCGTCCTCTCGGAACTACCGAGCCACTTTTAGAGAGCTGGAATGGCAGATGATGGATCAAATGCCGTCATTTATTTCTGACAATGAGGAGGTTTATAATGATGTATTCACGATGACTGAGCTACAAATGTCTATTGCTAAATGCGGCAATACATCCATTGGACCGGATGAGATACATTACGCGTTTTTTAGACACCTACCTGATGAACAATTGCATTCAATTTTGGAAATGATGAACTGCATATGGTGTGGAGGTGATATCCCTGATGAATGGAGACACTCGATTATTGTTCCTATTTTGAAACCAGGCAAACCTAGGGAAAACCCTGAGTCATATAGACCAATTCAGCTAACTTCATGTTTTAGCAAAATAATGGAACGAATGGTCGCCAGACGGTTATCCTGGTTTCTTGAGCGGAACAATATGTTGTCTAAATATCAGTGTGCATTTAGGAATGGAAGAAGTACCACAGACCATGTAGTCAGGCTGGAGTCCGAGATTAGAAAAGGTTTTTTCTACAACAAATATACCTTGGCTGTTTTTTTGGACCTTAAAAATGCATATAATCTCACGTCTAAAGTTGCTTTGCTCACAAAAATGTTTAATATGGGTTTTAGAGGACGCCTTATGTATTTCGTTAGATCGTACCTTGATAACAGAACCTTCCAGGTGCGCAATGGAACATTATCGGATACGTTCGAACAGGAAAACGGCTTAGTCCAAGGAGGAGTTATATCCCCGATATTGTTTAACATCATGATTGATGACGTGTGTGGAAATGTCCCGAGTGAAGTGTCCCGAGCGCTGTACGCTGACGATTGCTCTCTATGGGTGCAGGGAAGGAGAATTTTTCATCTAGTTAATAAAATGCAGGGGGCGTTGAACCATGTGAGTGCATGGGCTGATCGGTGGGGTTTCCTTTTCTCACCTCACAAATGCAACGCAATTGTATTTCGAAGGTATATGAAGGCAAGAGAGATGACGAACATACCTAACTTACATATATATAACCAGCCGTTAACATACACCGACACCGTCAAGTTTTTGGGAGTGATGCTGGACTCTAGGCTGAACTTAAACACGATGATGCAGTACATTAAAACAAAAGCTGTCAAAAGGATATCAATATTAAAATGTTTATCTGGAAAAGGCTGTGGCGCAGATCGTTCTACACTATTGAGAATATACAAAGCCATGATAAGACCGATATTAGAGTACGCATGCCAAGTTTTTGATGGTCCCCGTAACAAGGCAGTGGAAATGATTGATGTTATTCAAAATGAATGCATTAGAATTGCTACTGGAGCCTTTAGAACTTCGCCCATTTTACCATTGATGGTTGAAGCAGACATACTTCCCTTGAGACTGAGGAGATGCGACTTGTCTCTCCGTTATTCCCTGAAGATACTAAGTCGAGAGGATCATCCATGCAGAAAACTTATGGCCAATGAGGCTGCGTTACATGAGGTAGAGACTGGATATATGAAAAGGATTTCTGGTTTCCCGCTATATGAGAGAATACTTGATATGTGCCATGAAACAGGATTCGATTTCCCAGAAGAGGTGACCTTAAAACGCAGCGTCGTTCCGCCATGGAGATTACGTAAATGTACGTTGATAAAGTTGACTAACAGGAGCAAGAGAACGCTAGATGAAGTGCAAATTCAATGTGAGTTTAATGATTTGAGAAGCAGGTATACAGAATACGAGTTCATATTTACCGATGGAGCAAAAAGTGCAGACGGAGTTGGATGTGCTTTTGTCCACGGTGAAAGACGTCAAAAATTTAAACTTCCTGAACTTTGTTCGATATTTATAGCTGAAGGATTCGCAGTATTACAGGCTCTGAATTATACACATACAAATCGCATCCTCAAATGTGTTATATGCACAGACTCCTTGTCCATTATAACAGCCCTGGGAAATCCGACTTCTGAAAACCCGATCGTGATCCATTTACTAGAGACGGTCAGTCAGCTTATTGAAATGGGCAGTATAATCATTGTCCTCTGGATCCCAAGCCATAGTAATATACGTGGAAACGAGACAGCGGATGCACAAGCAAAGATGGCTATAAGATTGAATGACGTGTGTAATTTTCAAATGGGTCCTAAAGATTATTTTCCTAAAGTGCGTCGAAGTATTCGTGAATTATTCAACAAATATTGGACAGATTACAACCCTAGGACTAATTTAAAACGCATCAAAGAAGAGGTAGGAGACTGGGTCTCCTGTAAGCGAGCAGTCCGACGCGAAGAGATAGTGCTGTGCCGGCTGAGACTTGGGCATACTCGCTATACCCACGCATACATGATAGATAGAAACCTCCAACCTGAATGTGAACGATGTCAGTGTCCATTAACAGTGTATCACATTCTTCTTGAATGCCCCGTATATTTTCACGAAAGACGATCATTGGTAACACTATGTCAACGGTCCGGAACACAATTTTGTGTGAGGTCGCTGGTAGGAAATCAATTCCCGGACATCATTGATGGAGTGATGAAATATTTGCGACACTGCGACCTACTGAAACAATTGTGAAGTGCTGCCTTTGCGTGCGGGACAAGTGCAATTTTTGCTTTGCTGTCATTGATTGCTGCCATGCTGTTTATACTATATTGTAATTGTTTGAAATGAGTTGTTTATTCTATGTATAATTTAAGCTTGCGTGCATATCTGCGTACGATGTCTGACTGGATGCTTGAGAAATGTGATAAGCAAGGAAGTGGTATAGGAATTATGTGTAGCAAATATGTGTATATGTGTGATACGTGGGTGTGTGCGTAAGCAGAGGAGATAACATGAATGAGGTTTGAACGAGCATGGTGAAGACAGATGAATGTGCGTGCATGCGTTAGAGTACACGGCATGGCAGATATGTGAAATTTCCATCTGGTAAATGCTTTGTTAAACGACAATGTTGTGACTGCCGACTGACTGATGACTAACCTGCAACGTCTATCATGTGGGGAAGCTGCGGTTAAAAGAAAATGATAAAAAAGAGCCTGGCAAAAAAAAAACCGGACTTTTTGTTCTCTTGTTTTAGTTCACTAATCAGTTTATGTATCTGAACATTTAACACCGAGTTTTCTAGAAACTAACACCGTTTACTGCACCTCCTTGCTACACCACTATCCTGCACGAAAATTCCTGACCAGCGCGACACATTCCTTCTATCCTCTGTCGCGCTTAGTTACCACCTGTGCTACCAAACTTGCAAGACAACACTTCAACGATGGACGCCTGAGCCCAAGAGGCTATGCGCCCTTAACCAACAACAACAACAACATGCACCTTATTTTGTGGGTGCTTTGTGGACAATTGCTAGAAGCGAGGGTGCGTGGTGTTAAATGGGGTTTGTATTTGGTAACTATTTGAGCATTTACAAGGTTGACATGCAAATTTATTTTGAAGTCCTGTTCCAAGATTGCCATTGTCTCTTCATTGAGCCAAAATACCAATAATGTGGTATAATTTGTGGTGACATATGTACGCTCACCAATGTTTTATTAATGTACCGTGTTTCCAGGTGGCGGCTCATAATCCAGCACGATTTGCACACAGCTGATATCATATTGGTTTCTTAACTCTGAAGGAGGTTTGGCTGCTTTTAGAAGTTGACTGTAAATAACTCAGTTATGAGTCAACAATACTTCCCTGGCAATGAAGGAGCACTATGGATGGGAAATGTAAGTAGTGAGGTGGTGTAGGACAAGCAAAAATGGTGCATGCTGCAGGTCTGTAGTCATTAGCTCAGTGCAATGTTTATTTGCATTTCAGTTTATTCAAGGTGATGGTGCTAGGACAGCAGTAATGGCCTTATTCTTCATATAAAAATGGGGAAAATGGAGATCTAGATGGGTTGATATTTTGACACCAAGCCTTTATTAAGATGTTTTTTTCTTCAAGGAATAAGCCTACTACTATTGTATTTCTATGTGGACAATGTTCCTTTAAAATGCACTCAACAACTTATGTAACTTTGATGATGATGCTATATTGTGTCCAGTGTTGCAGTGCTAAGCAAGCAGTTCAAGTGTATAATTTTCATGATTATTGATCACACTGCATCTGTTAACATGGCTATATGTTTGTAAGTACAACATGGAATGTTGCATATTATATTTTGCACAACTGAAAGATCAAAGTTGAACTCTTTGTGATGACATTTGCTGCAGATTGCAGACTACATGGATGAAACCTTTGTCACAAATGCATTCCTGGCTATGGATGAGGAAGTTTCGCTGGTTAAAATAATCAAGAACAAGTTCACTGGCTTACCTGCTGGCTACTGCTTTGTTCACTTCAAAGATGAACAGACAGCAATGCGGGTTATGCACAAACTAAACTCCAAAATGATACCCAACAGTCAACCTGTAAGTACTGCCCCTACTTCTAATAATGTTATGTACGCACTAAACTCTGCCTGTTGATTTCTGACCTTTGATATTTACTTCAGTTTTTACTTGCACCAGCCATGCCTGAATAGGATATATCCTGTCTAAAACTGCTGACAGTAGAAAATAAATGGCTTTTTCATGTTTTGTTCTGTTTGAATGTACACCCAAGTGTATGCATGTACAAAGGCTAGTGATGGTTAAGAGCTTATCTGAAATGTGTGGCTAGGATTTGAATGCAAATTATAGGTGTGGAAGAATTGCACTTTCCTACTTGCATTGTTAGATGCATGGTCACTTAATGCCTCGCCATCCACTGATCTTTGTACAATTTGTGTGCTATCTCCTAAGTCTTTTGTCTAAAGTCTTAAGTCAAGGCCTTAAGTATATATCACAACTAACATTCCTTTCCACAAATCACCCTTGATCCTACCTCATAACAACAGACATCTCAGGATTTCCATCCAGACCATACCCACTCACACCCTGCTGTAACATGCCACATCCACTTGTGCTCTGTTCCAACATGTTACCTCTGCTTGCGATCTGTTCCAACATGTTGTGTCCCGTCACGCTTTGTTCCAACATGTCACGTGCACTTGCGTTATGTTCCAAAATGTCATGTCCACGCGATCTCTGCTTCAACACGTCACGTCCACTCGGGATATGTTCCAACATGTCACGCGTGGTCTTCGCAGCCGACACGTTTCTTGCTGAACCACTCGAACGCCAAGAAGACCCAGGATTCTGAGTTCTCGCTGTGGGTGGGAGACCTGGATCAAGCTGTTGACGACGAGATGCTGTACAAGGCGTTCGCCACCCGCTACAACTCGGTCAGGCTTGCCAAAGGTCAGCAGAGTCATCTATTGCCGTTGGTTGTGGGACAGTTAGATGTCACATTGCTCGGACAAATCGCCAGAAACTTAAACGTGTCTCGAGCTAGTTCATCAAATGCAAAAATAAGCAATTTCAACCAAGGGTCCCTGTCAGCATTTACAATCGTGCTGGATGCTGTAGGACTCGCGGTCATCAGCTGTCATTGTAGTCGGAGCGGACATTGACTGTAAGACAGCCAATGTGCAGGTGCATTTCATGGCTTTTAAATTAGGTTACGGCCGTGGTGTGAAGGAATCCCAACGTCACCGTTCGGTCCGCTTGGTCGGTCTTCAGAGACTGTTGCACTTAAGTGAGATTGCTTTCTGGCAGTGTTTGTCCTCATTCTAGATTCCGGTAAAATCCATCCGCACATGCAGCTCGCGCGCTCTAGCGGTGACCGACGAAACTAAAACTCTAGGTTTCTACACTTCAAAGATCTCAGTGGGACTGCGCACTCTGCCATTCGACGCGATCCTATGGAGACATCCGGGGCGCGTTGTAGAGGGCGGTCACCAAACCCTTTGAGGAAACATTACCTCAGTGGTAGGGAATGGAAAACTCAAAATGGAGGGTACCAGATATAGCCACAGACTAGCTGATGTGTTTTTTTTCGGCATGCGGCCACGCGCGGCCGGCTAAGTGAGGGCACAGGGTGAGGCGCCTGTTCTTACCTGACGTCTACCGCGTTTTAGAGCCTGTGTATTCAAATTTTTACCACTGACGTCAGTGGAATGCGCATGACCGTTTTTGGTATGAAATTCTCGTGGGCGTGCGGGGACGATTGTGGGTGCACACGTGTGGTCCACCTCTGTTTTGAAGCGATCACTGACAAGCTGCTCCACTCGGTCAATTCCTGCCCCTCCTCCGAAGATCCCGAGTCCTGGTAGCATGTCATCGTCTTCCCTGTCCTCAAATCTGGAGGTCCTGAAAATTCTTATAACTCCGGCCCGATCACCACCGTCCCTGTCATAGCGACGCTTGTGGAGCGTGCGGTCCATCAGTAGGTTCACAGTTACCTCTTCAAAACCATCCCCTTTCCTCCAACCAGCACGGTTTCAGACCACACCGTTCCACGCAAATCGCACTGGCATGTATATCCACATCCTGACTGCCAACGACCGTGGAGACATGTCACTGCTCTGCTCGCTTGATTTAAGGGAAGGTTTCGATGTGATAAACCACTCAAAAGTGTGCCTGCACAACATTGATGCTTCCTGGTTTTTCAACTTACCTCAAGAATCACCCTCAGGGTGTGAGAATATCCAACCGTTTCGGGGACAGCAAGCTCCACTAAGTTGCCTAGCAGCATTTGAGTTTTTCAGGGATCGACACGAGGCTCCCTACTCTACTGCAGCTTTGCGAATGACCTTAGCCTCTTCGCAGAGGGTGAAGTGGTGCAGTATGTGGACGACACCCAAATTCTAGTTGAGCGGCAAAAAAACGTCATTTTCAGAATGTCGTCACGCAGATGGAACACGTCTTGCTCTCTCCCGACGTTTTGTTTCGCACGCACAATCTGGAAGTAAATGTCGGGAAAACACAGTAAATATTGTTTGAAAGCCCATGAAATCTACGCAGCCTCCGAACTTCACTGCAAACCTTCGTGAGCACGAGCTATTTGCCCGTTCGGCGATGAAAAAATCAACGACTAGTATTTGGTCCGTCTGTGAGCTGGAATTCCCACATTTCTTTCTTCACTGGCCGCTGTTCTGGTACCCTCTCTGGTCTATCACATCTGAGGAACTACTTGCCCCCTAGTGTCGTCTCCACACTGGTGAGTGCCGTAGTCCTGTCACAGATCCGATGCAGCTTTTAGGTTTGTGGGAATGATCCTCAGAAAATATTTCTGGGATCCAAAAGGCAACTGTGTAGTAAAAGTAATACTTGGGCGCAAAAAAGATCGGTCAGCTTTCGGATTTGGTGGAGAAAATCGGCTGGCTCTTCGCGAACGGCTTCGTCAAAAACCGCACGTTTACGCTTCTCACAAGATACTTTCTACCTTCTTTACGAGGCTACTTTCTGGTGGTCCAGAAGCACTGACCCGCGAGTTGTGAGAGGCATCTCAAGCCCGAGATCGACGCACACGGCGGGATGAAGATTTGTTCGTCCCTACGTCATACGCTGAGATGGGAGGGAGACGCTTGTGTTGCCGAGCTGCCACCCAGTATAGCTCCCTTCCTGGTGACCTGATATGACTCCCTGATGCGGGGTTGGCCGTGCACTGAAGCGCCACCTACTACTCCGACGTCCGCCCTGACCACGGAATGGTCCGCGTCGTGTATCCTTGCGCAAACGTTTGTATCTGTGCGCATGTTTGTGGGCTGTGTGTGCTTGCATTTGTAGCCAGTGGCATCTTGTTTTAATGCTGTGGTGATGGGATGGAACAGCCACGAGTCCATCGTGTATAGTCCAAATAGACGTCTATGTCTATGTTTGTGTATTTGTTGACTCCGGGCGCTGAGGGGTGTTTGTGAAGGACCGGGCTCCCGCGGTCTTTGCTCACGTCACGTCAACCGTCCATTCTGGCAGTGGTTTTCGACAAGGTCACCGGTCTGAGTCGATGCTACGCCTTCGTGCGGTTCGGTGTGGAGGAGGACCACAAGGACGCGCTGACACACATGAACGGCTTCACGGGGCTGGGCAGCAAGCCCATCAGGGTCAGCCTGGCGGTGCCGAGGCGGCCCGCCGCTGCCACAAGGTCAGTCTATGACGCGAGGTCAGTAGGGAGGTCAGGCAAGGTGAGGTCATTGGTGAATCAGGTCAGGCATTGACCCGAAGTCAGTGGCGTTTAGGATAGCAGGTGATCTGGGTTTACTAGAGGTGCAATCCAGGTGGTGACCTTATCCCAGCAGTGGACGTGGTCAGCGTGCGAGGGGAAGTCAGTTATTGGTCTTAAAAAACAGTGGCATGAAGTCAGTTCAGATCATATATTTTTATGACCTCAGTCGCCAAAAGATCTGATCAAGATGACTGAGGTCAGTGGCTTGTAAGGCGCGGTTGATTCCAGTATGAAAAACGGTCACTCGGTGGTCTGAGCTCAGTAATGGGTCAGGTCAATGGGTGACCCAGGTCAGTGGCGTGTCAGGAAAGCTGATGATCGAAGGCGAAAATCAGTAACGTCTTGCCGCTGGGTCAGATAAACCCGTGACTGAGGTCATCGTTAGGTCAGGTCATTCGGCGACCCAATGTCAGCGGTGGGTCAGACAAGTCATTGTGACCTTGAGTTGAGTGGTGACCAGTCAGTCATCGTGGTCAGAAACAGCGGGCAATCAGGGCTGATGAAATACTGGTCGGAATTTGGTTTGCTCTGTCACCGCAGCCTTAAATGTCATGCACTATTGACAGGTCGTTATGGTCGTACCGTCCACTGACCCGACCGGCCATTGACCTCTGGTCATCACGTTGGGCATTGTCGTCGAGCGAATCTTTGGGCAATGCTCGTTGTCTCGCGACAGTCTCCAGGTCCAGATGGTGACCAGCGGCTGGGTCCTGATCAAGCCGGTGCCGTGTGGCTCGGCTGCGAGGCAGCAGTCAGTCACAGTCACACATTTCACTGAACTGATGAATTTTAACCGGAGAATTGTAGCCAGTCAACGTTCGCTACTGGAGTGCTGAAGCATAAAGGAACGCGGTTGTTGGGGTTTAAGATCGTCACGGTGGTTACTAAAAAGCGTTCCTGCAGTTTGCTTCTCCCACCAGAGTATGTAGGAGACTGCGTGTCACAAGGGAGGTGATCTCACTGCGGCAGCAGTGACGACATATTCGTTCACCTGACCATCGTTTTATCGAACCTGGGAACTCAGTGCCGTCTCGCGTGCTCGGTGTCGCCTGACTCCTCCGCGGTGTGGCGAGCTCCACGGTGCTCCACACCGTCGCCTGGTCGTGCTGTGTCTCACCGCCGTGCGCCGTGTCTGCCGCAGCACCAACACCGCGTACGCCGCGAGCGCCGCGACCCCCGACGCCTCTGCCAGAGACTACAGTGCCTACTACGAGCAGTATTGGAACAACTACCACGCGTGGCAGAACTACGGCAGCTACGACCCCAATGGTGAGCGCTGGTGGCCCGTGTGCACCGGACGGTTGGTGTGGGGATAGGGGGTTAGGGGCGTGGGAACTAGGAGACCAGGAGTGATCAGGTGTGATCGGTGATCAGATGTGACCAGGAGTGATCAGGTTTTATTGATCATATGTGTATGATGAGATCATGTCACATAATTGATCAATAAGTGTATCAGATTGATGACTGCGATTACCCATGGTGACTTCAAAACAACTTCCCTCATGTTGTACGCCCTCCCCCCCCCCCCCCCCCCTGGTATGTGGTGTTTGTTTCGCGCCTTACAAAGCGGCCATCTCCGTTCCTCCCCAGTGGCATACCACGCCTACAGCTACAACACGGAAGCGATCGCCGCGCCGGCCGTTGCCATGGCGACGGCCGGTGTCGTCGCGCATGCCGGTCCCCCGGCTCAGGCGGCGTCGGCCGCACCGGCCGGTGCGGCCGACGCCGCCGACACCGCCGACTCGGAGGCGGAAGACGAGGTCGTAGGTGGGTCACAAGGCGCGGGGTCGTGCTGGGGAAGGGGCAATCGGTTGAGGTAGGGTGTGGGATCCTCGGCATGCAAGCGATGGTGTGTGGCAACAGGTGTGTAGCAACATACATGGAAATTGGGTCCCGAAGAAGCTTCCTCGAACATTTTTTTTGCCAGAAAACGGCAAAATTGCCATTGAAGGAGTAAGATTTAGCGGTTAGGAACGCTCAGCATCCTTCTCCGAATGGATGCTGAAATAATTGTTTTTTGATAGATTACCATGAGTGCAGGTGTGTGACTGCTGATCTTGGCGGATGAGATCCTGAAATGGACTCTTGCTTTTCGAATGTTGTAGTGTATTGGGTCGGTAATTGAGCTACGCTAGTGCGTATCAAACACTATGATCGTCTTGGATAGCTCAGTGGTAAGTCGACTGGCTGTACTGTCAGGGTAACAAGCCAGTCAGCTCTGTTCATGTGGGTTCTACCAGCCAACTGCGACCGGCCCCGTGTTTACAGAGCATGACGTTCCCGTGGACGTGGACTCGGAGAACAAGAAGTTCGTGACGAGGAACGAGGAGTTCTGGGACGCTCTGGAAGCCTCGCGGTGGCTCCAGCCGGACACCCTCAATCCGGAACTGAGCCTGGTCATCAAGACGTGACGCCCTCTTAAAACTGGCTGTGACCCTGAGCGCGGGCCGGGATGAATATTGTCGCTGATGCTGTGTTGCGAAGATTGCTGTTTCATACGCATTTATGAGTGGATGGTTGCGTAATGTGTGTTTTATCGCTCCCCCGGCCTGGCAGGGTTTGAGAAGCTCTGAAGCAAATGATTGCGATTGTGAAACTCCCCACATCTTCAATGTGTGATTTGGAGGATGACACGTTGTGATGGTTCATGTTGGTTCATGTTGAGCATCGAATGCTTCCTTTCCTGGTCTTGAGCTGCAGCGTCAGGGATTCTCGAGGATCCCTCCTGATGTAATGACTGTATGTAGGTGCGCTGTAGCTAACTCTCCCACGTGCGCTGTAATGTGTTGATCCGTCCAGTATCTGGGATATTGCGTTAGCGGTCCAGATGTGAGCGCAGCACGAACAAAGCTCTGTGAACTGCGAGATGCCAAGTTGAGAGCCATACACTTTGAACTACACTGTGCTTTATCTCAAGGGCTGCCGAAGTGCCGCCGTCGGCATGGTCCGAGGCAGAACTGGATGTGCAGTGCGGCAACGCTGTGCAAGGACCAGAACGCGCATGTTATGTTGCTTGGCATTGCTGACACGGAAAGGCAGTTTGACGCTGACTTATGACTTGCGTGGGCGACCGTACCTTAGCATATACGGTGAAGAAAACTGCCTACCCGCGCTGCCCGATCTGATTAGAAAAATTTGAGCAGGAATGATTTAATTCGGTGAAATATGGGCGCACCGCCTCAGAGGAAGCGGTGCGCTCAGGGCGCGCGCGTCGAGCTCTGTCCCTGAAATGGAAACTAGGCCATCTTGGCTTAAAACTTCCCACAAACCACTTAAAATGAATGCTTAAGTCATGACCGTAGAAGCGTGGTCGGAGATGTCTAGGGGACGTGTACTACCGGTCAGAGGTATCCATTACGTCGCGTGTGCGTCATATCCATTTAGGTAAATTGCGTCTGCGGTTGTGAGGAGCGCCGGAGGTTGTCTGAGGATTTGGGACGAGAGCAAATTCAGAGCATCCCCCAAGGATATATTGGCAGCGTCCAGCAGGGTGCACACATTTTCAAGAACCCTTACTTTCCGTGCACCGCCGAGAGGTTTGTGCCGAATTCTCCGGAGTGTAAAGGACGAAACCTTCCCCCATTTACGACAAGATGGTTCTCACGCCACCACCTTAGAATGGGTAATTTAGATCATGCAACCTGAAGTCTTCGGACTGCGTAATTCAGCGACGCATCTAAGGTGGGAACGTTGCGTCCAGTCCTGGAGGCTCCTGGAGGTGGCGATGGCCGTTTGAGGCAGAAAATCGCAATATTTTTGGTAGGGCCCTACGAATTAAAAGGGTCAAGATCACGCCCAAAGCCGTTAAATAGTGTCGCGGGCCTGAAACGTCCCCGAATAACAAGGTCCTAGACGTAGAGAGGGCTCCTTTGGCTGGAAAGTGCAGTCCGCTGGTATAACATTACACCCGTATAATCCGCTACCACCCTCGTGGACCAACTCATGACTATGACGTCTTTTGTCCCTGTGTTTTTCTTTGGTTGAATAAGTGAAAATGAAACTAAATGCACCAGCTTTATGCAAGCAATTATCAAACAGACCAATGCCTCATCGACACGGATTGGTAGTCCGTGAGGAGCGTTCGTATCTGACATCGTCCTTGCATCACTTTACAGAACCAAAACTTTTTCAAAAATGACGCATCAGTGTCAAGTGTAAGCTCGTTTTTCAAGGCGGCAACCCAGCGCAATGCCCTATGCGGTATATAGGGGTTTGGGTTGGGGGTTGTCGAGAGCGGGGAGGATAGTTAAGTAGTCCAAAGACTTTGCAGTCCAGAGGTACGCTTAAGGTTGCCGATTTTAAATGTTACCGTGTATGTACCCTTCCCATGTGTCGAGCAGTACTGTGGCAAGCGTCTCGCAAGGTGCTCATGGCGGTTGCCGGTGACTGAGAATCACATCGATATTGTGGTATTATGTTCGATATAACTTAACAGATCGCTGGAGAGTGAACACCAATATTTTCACACTTCTGTTGTTATTGGTAAACAAAGTTATTGACACTTCTGCTGGACAGTGTTAGTGTCATATGATGTCCAAGGCATCAATCACTTAACAAAAGTGGCAGCCCAATCATTTACCTGTCATTGGCATATGCATCAGTATTCAGTGGGCAGTCACTGAGAAATAATGTAAAGATGCAGTCAAAGCATCAATGTATGCATGCATCTTGTGTGTATTTTTGTTACTATCTTATTACTGCAGCTAATTATTGCTACACATGTTCTTACTCTTCCAGGCATGTGGGTAATGCAATGGCATCTGCTGCCCCCCTGCCACTAGATTTAGAATTTTTGTTTATTACAGTGATGCAATCCAAGCCTATAAGTTGCTTCTGTGTCTTGAGCTTCCAAAATAATCAACCATTGGTGAATTAAAATCACCTTTCCCATTCTGAAATTGTGTAGAGATTGTAATAAGCATAGCCACCAGGGTCATTTCATAGGTTACTACAGTATTGGTATGAAGAAGATGTGGTAAATTCATCTCATTTCAACAGTGGGCTTAGCCAGCCCATGTTGTTCATCTTAGCCAGCTACCTGCTGTTGTATAGCTTGTTGGTTTTCAAATCCGCACCACTCCAAAAATGGTGCTTAAAAATGGAATGCCTTTCCAGTTGGACTGAATAGATTTCTTGGTGATATCCTTAATAGTGTGGTGTCTGGCATCTAAGTGGTGGGGTGTCAGGTGTTTGGGTTCATGTACATAATAAATTGTCTGTATAGTAAACATAGATAGCTGGTTGTGTTATAGGGCTGTTAGGAAGAAGCTCCTCAGGGCATTTCATGAATGCTGCAGCCAACTGTGGGGCCACTCACTTGTCTGCTGACTGGATTGCTTTGTCAGTTGGGATGTTTCCATTGAAAGTGTTGACATGGATGTCAAAGATATTTGTCCCCTGTGATAGCATTCAGGGATGCACTGAGCACAAATGCTCAAGATATGTGTATGTTTGAGTACCTCTGTGGGAGGCTGCTGGATTCTATTTCCATCAGCTTCATCCAAACTTTGAAATTCAGTATTTTCACTACCATAGTGCCTTGACAGGAATGAATCTGAACCACTTTATTGGATATATGTGCACTTACTTCACAGGTATATGGACATTGGAGACTGTTTGAGAGATGGCATTTCATCCACATTGATGCACTCCATGTGTCAACTCATAGCATGAGTGCTGAGTCTTCCATGGACTGGGGGCAATGTCTCATTTTTGTTATGTCTGTGACATGTATGCTTTTGTTTCTACAAGCCATGTGATATCCTGCATCTTTCAGGTGGCAGAGGACATTAATCATTCAAAATCAGAGAGTCTTTAGCAACCTGAAAGGTTGTAGTCATTGCAAGCAGGATCTCCAGAAAGCAAGATGAATTACATGGCTAGCAGGGAGGGCTCCCTGTGGATGGGCAGTGTAAGTAAGGCATCTGTAGGCAGTCATTTGATCACTGGGATAGTTCATGGTTATGTGGATGGGGACAAGCTTGTTACAGTTTTTGAGTGGTTGTTAATATGCTTTCTAGATCTAATTTGTGCAAAAAATATGCACATTAATGCTGTTGCTCATAGAGTTACCCTAGTCAGTTTTAACATAATGTTTACCATTGGTCATCATCATGGAACACTCACCATGCATGGCAGTCAGCGATTGATCTTTGTTGTATGTTGTTCCACAGATGGAAAATTATATGGATGAAGCATTTGTCAAGAGTGCATTTCTGGCTGTGGGCGAGGAAGTGTTAAACGTAAAACGCGTCAAGAACAAGATGGATGGCCTCCCTGCTGCCTACTGTTTTGTTCAATTCAAAGACGACCAAACAGCTACGCGGGTTATGCACCAACTCGGTGGCAAAGTGATACCGAACACCAAGCCGGTTAGTAGCCCCACGAGTCGACACACTGGCTGGGCCTTATGCTTAGGGACATTTTTTCGACTAGTGACGCCAGCGTGCTCATCAGTGAGGCTGCCAACCAGTGGTTTCTGCCCGTTTTTTCGGTGCGTTTTTTTTTGTCCTTGATGTGGCGTCTTCTGCTGCCATAGTTTGTGATGGCTGCGGACCGAACTAGTTGTATTTTCTGGGGCCCGGTCCAATCACCCGTCTCCGATTCCTGCTGCCATGACCGAACAATGCAGCAGTCCAGATGTGGTAACATCCATTGAAACGGCCCCGATCTCGACATATGGTCATCGTTGGACGCTCGTTGTGGTAGCTCTCCCACGCTGACCGCCTTTAGTTGTCTCCATTGGCTCCCGTCACCACGCCGTAACGAGCATTCCGATCCACTTTACTGAGCTTTTGTACGAGCCTCTGGGTCGTCAGGTTCTTCAGCTGATTCTGTTCCACTTCCTTCCCTGTACGACTCTCCACGTTGCCCGCACATACATCCAGGCACAGAAACTCGCCGTCCTGTCATGTTCAGTCCTTGCGGATGACGTAATATGGGCCCACCGTGCTGTTACGCAACCCGAAAACCGCATTCTCCGCGCGTGATTTTTCTGTACGACTCTGGTGTCCGCAGCCTGTGCGGTTCTTCCTGAACCACTCCAACGCCAACAAACAGGCGGGCGAACACTCAGTGTTTGTGGGTGACTTGGACGCCAGCGTCGATGACGAGATGCTGTACAAGGCGTTCGCCAGCCGCTACAGCTCGGTCAGACTCGCCAAAGGTCAGTGTGCCGGTCAGGGCGGGCGGCATCCGAGCAGTTCCCGCTAGCCGGTTGGCGCGATTCGAGGCTGCTGGCAGAAACTGCTTGTGACATGATCTGGCAGAAACTGGCGAGACCTCGGCAGGGGTAGGCTGTGAGACAACTAGTGTAGGGAAATGACAAGTATAATAGATAGGTTGTCGTAACGTGAATGCATCATAAGCATGCTGTAGTGATGGCTGGATGATGTAGTGGTGGCATGACTGGATGATATAATGATGCATCAAAGATCGAAGGGGCGCTGTGCCACCTTGCCTGCGAGCCGTCCTGCCAGCCATCCCCTGCTGCGCGCGCGGCTCTGTCACGTGCCGTCATGAGTGCAGCGTTGGCCCAGCCAGCGTTGTGCTGTCGCGCCCCACTCTGCGCCACTCCAGCACGTGACCGCCGCCCGGTGCCGGCCGCGGCACCGCTCGTGACCGCCCCCCCCCCCCCCCCTGCGCTGGCAGTGGTGCGCGAGAAGGAGACGGGAGCCAGTCGCGGCTACGCCTTCGTGCGTTTTGCCGCCCAGGCGGACTACAAGGACGCGCTGGGACACATGAATGGATTCACGGGACTGGGCAGCAAGCCGATACGGGTCAGCCAGGCCGTACCGAAGCAGCACACTGCCAGGTCAGTCGATGGCCACCAGGCCCGCTGCCGGTCCGGGGCCAGTAGCGGATCGGGTCAGGCGGTGACCCGGGGTCAGTGGTAGATCGGGTCAGGCGGTGATCCGGGGTTAGTGGTGGATCGGGCCAGGCGGTGATCCGGGGTTATTGGTGGATTGGGTCAGGCGGTGATCCGGGGTCAGTGGTGGATCGGGTCAGGCGGTGATCCGGGGTCCGTGGCAGGTCGGATCAGGCGGTGACTGGGGGTTAGTGGCAGATCGACAGGTGGGAACCACCTGTTGCAGTGTGTTACCATCCGTCACGGTGTTACCACCCGTCACGGTGTGTTACCACCCGTCGCAGTGCGTTAGCATCCATCGCGGTGTGATACCACCCGTCACGGTGTGTTACCACCCGTCGCAGTGCGTTAGCATCCATCGCGGTGTGATACCACCCGTCGCGGTGTGTCACCACCTGTCGCTGTGGTTCTGTCGCAGCGCCAACTCCGAGGGGGGCGCGGACAATTCGGCCTCCGCCGCCGCAGACGACTACACGGCGTACTACGAGCAGTACTGGCAAAACTACAACGCCTGGCAGAACTACGCGAGCTATGACCCCAACGGAGCCAATGGTGCGTGCACGGTCGGGGCTGGTGGGGCTGAATGGGTGACGCGTTTAATGAGTACGGGACTGGTTTTCAGTTTGTTTGCCAGAACATAGCCGCGTGAAGTCTACATCACAGAGAAACAAAGTTCAGTCCGCTGAATTCTTCTGGCATGTTCGTGGTCGCGTTTTTGCTGAAGTAGCTCAAGGTGTGCGATGCGTATGACCCAGAAGTAATTGCAGCAGGCATCGTATTTCACCCCTGGACATGTCCGTCCTCATATCCGTCCTCTAGTGCCCCATTGTTGGCTATTTAGGTAGATGGTAGGTAGGTAGATGACAGCCAGTGGAAAATTCTCGTATTTGTTGTCACATTTTCGTTTATTTTGCATCCATTGTAACATGCTATCGTTTTATTCTGTGAAAGAAATTCGTTCTCTGTATTCTGAGTGCTTAAGCCGCGCCGTAACTATTACTGTGATGCTGATTGTTGTTATTGTTACTGTTTGGCGATTAAATTCTACGTAAAGAGCGTCTGGGGCTGGTCATGATACGTTTCTTGCGTTATATCATCCCAAAGGTGTATGCACGTCATGGTGACCTTTCGTAGTTGCCAGCTGTTCGTAGCGCCATCCGATTAAATAGGTTATAAATGATGCCTTCCTCCACGCCTGGAGCGGCCCAACGAACCTTGGCCACTCCGTTGCCCCCTTTGTGCTCGTCATTCATGTACTTTCCAACGAGTAAGCGGAACTTTACAGTATGGCCCTGCCTTCGCGCTCGCTCGGTGACCTCCCGTGTGAGAGTGTTCGTCTGTCTTTCTCAGCGGCGTACCAGGCGTACGGTTACGCCACCCAGGCGGCGTCGAACGCGCACGCACCAGCCGCCGTCGGCTACCCTCCAGCCGTCGGGTATCCGCCCGCCGGCGCACCCGCAGCCGCCGGCTACCCCCCGCCGGCCAGCTTTCCCGCCGCGGCCGGCTACCCGCAGCCGGCCGCCGTTCCCGGCGCGGCTCCCGCAGCCGCCGGCTACCGTCCGACGGCTGGAATTCCCGCACACACGGCCGTGCCGCCGCCCACGGGCACCCCGGCGGCCGGCGGCCTGCCCCCGCATACTGCCCTGCCGCCGCCGAGCGGCGTCCGGCCCCCCGCCGGCCTGCCTCCTCACACGGCCCTGCCGCCGCCGGTGGCCGCCAAGCCCTCCGCCATCGCCGCTGTCCCTGCCGCCGCCGCAGCCGCCGCTGCCGCCGCGCCGGCCGGTGGCTCGGCGGCAGCCAGGGCGGCCGGGAGCGGCAGTGCGGAGGTCGACGACGACAAGGTGCTCGTAGGTGCGTCGCGGTCGCCGCTGGCGACACCGCCGCGCTGACGAACGATGTCAATGGTGGGCGTCGCAGTTCACCTTCGCCATCGCGACGGCCTGATGGGAACACGCAGTATCGGCTCCGAAGCCCGGTGACGACCCCGGCGCGGGTGCACGGCGACATGCGCTGTTCATGTGTGATGCGGCACTGCGCCTTCGCTCGCGCGGGTGACAGGTCCAAGACATGTGGGCACACTTGTCTGGGCGTATTTTGGGTGCGATTGCTGACCGACTATGTTTCATAACCAAGCGTGGCGTAGCAATGGATGGGTGAACTTGTGAGTTGTCTGCTGTTTGTTTGCTTTTTTATTCTTCGAAGCCACTGAACCCACTTTGCCGACTGCTGGAGTCCTCTCACATCTCGTTGCAAGTGCCTGGATGCCTTGCCTTACGTTCGATATCCTGGCTGACTCACACCTCTGATTCTCAGAGCACGACGTGCCGCTGGACGCGGACCGGGAGGACTGCGAGCTTCTGAGGCGCACCGAGGAGTTCTGGGACGCGCTCGACGCCTCGCGCTGGCTGCCGCCGGACACCCTCAACCCCGAACTCAGCTTGGTCATGCAGACGTGATGCGCTGGGGAGGAGGACGGCGCTGTGGGGGAGGGGAGGGGCGTAGGGATCGCTGCTGTTTGTGTTACGTCGTGTGTATGCGTTGATTAGCGCAGACTGTGTTTATTTTGTAGTTAATTAGCATGTGTTGGGGTTCGTTTCACCAGTGTTTTTCATCAGCGCGCCATCAGTCGTGAGTGCAGAACAACGTAATACATGGCAATGTCGAGTGCAGCGTGTTTCCAAGTCATGGCTCGCAGTTAATGCGTTTAGCATCCTCAAACGCTACCTCAGGGGAAAATGGTGTTTCGTGTGGCGTTTATCTTACCTTGCGATGGCATGGTGCGTGCGGGGCCTGCGTTCAGGTTCGCTCCTTAGGACCGGGCATTCACTTTGTCACTAAATCCACGGCACTATCATGCGCGAATGTAAAATAAACCCAATGTGTACATGAGCAATTTGAGTTCCGGCACAGCAAACAACACCCAGTATTTACGTAAAAATCGCTCGCCATCGCGATCCGGAGCTCGATAACAATGCTGCCATGGTGCCGAGGGTCGCCCTGGCTTTGGCAGGCGGGGGGCCAATAGAGATTCAAATCTATGAAGCAGAATAAAAATAAGATGCCGCTGAGCTAAGATTGCACTAACGACGTGAGCTAAGTTAAGCTGGAGTGGCGTTGGCCGGCATGGCCTCTAGGTTTGCGCCTCTCGCTCGAACACGCCTTTTGATTACATTGGTTCGTGGATGCTAGCCTGATGGGCTTGGTCGCCTTCGAGAAACCAACAATGTGATGCTTCGGGCAAAGTCATAGTCTGCGCCAGGTAAACCACTCATGTGGCAGTGCCAAGCTTGGTATCATCGGCACATGCCATGGTTAGAGTGGTGGCAGCTCTCCCTGGTGCTCTCCCACGCAGGAAGCGGCACGACTGGTGCTGCATTGGGGGCGTGATCCGGCAGCAGCTGGCCGTGCTTGTGACCTAGCGTTAGCACAGGAGCTGGTGTTACGGCGCGGTAGATGGTGCAGAAGTGCTCCAGTCCGTGACGAAGCACTGGGCAGTGCGGCAGGCAGCTGGGAGCCGGAGCCAGCTTAACATTAGTTTATGTACGTTTCGCCTGCTTGTCGCATTGCGTCGCAATTTGATGACTGCGTCTCTTGAATATCCGTGGTAATGAGCCCGTATATTGAATGTCCGTGGACCGAGCGGACTGGGAGCCCGTATCCAGCGAAGCATGTGGACGGTGCCGCTATGCTCGTGTCGCACAATCGCAGTATCCTTTGGCTAGCCTCCTTTCACTCATAACTGCGTCCAGTTGAAGTTTCGATTAACGCTGCTGTCACTGGTAGGTGACGGCCAACAGTAACCAGTTTTTCGAGGCGGGGTTGTGAGCTTAAGTATTAAAGGTTTTCCTTGGAGAAAATGAGGCTTATACCTAGACGGTGGTATTAGCGTTATTCCTTGGAGATAAACCAGAAGGGAGATAGAGTTGGGTTGATATTTCGGCAACACGCCTTATAGAAACAATAGCAGAAGGTTGCTGTTTAAGTGATTACTTTCCCTATTGTTTGATAAAGGCATGTTGCAGAAATATCAAACCAACTATATCTCCATTCTCCTGTTTTCCCGTAGGAATAATGCTAATACTACTCTCTTATCATGTGAATAATGTTCCTCGCTAATGCACTGAACAACTTACGTTATCATTTTCAGCATGGCAAGGCCTTACTCCATGACATCGTAGGGGAAAGTAAAACTTAACGCTAGCAAGATTCCAGTGTTACTGATTTGGCGTCGTTCAAGTAATTTGTAATCAAAAACCTCTGACCCATCTACCATGCAAATTTACCTGCCCTCGCAAGCGCCGTCTCATTAAAGCACGCACCTCAAGTCAGCAACAAAGTGGAACGTTTCATTTATTTTTTGTATAGTACCGACCGAAGAGCCTGGAGGCATCAGCGACAGCCGAGGGACGTGGTTGATGCGTCACTTTGAGAAGAAAGCGGGCCAAATCCGTGGAGAACCCCTTTTATTCACGTATTTTGGGGGCAGGTTTGGTCGCATTGGTTTGTTTATTTCAGTTCTGTATTTTCTTCTTTTAGTTTTCATTGTTTCATGCATTCATTGATTCTTTTCACTTTCTTATTTTTACTTCATTTTATTCCATTTCGCATTCAATTTGCATTCATTTTCATTCATTGGTTTGCTCATCGTTCGCCCCCACCCGGCTCATTTTGCGAAACCACGCCTCGATTGAAGCCATTCTGAGAGGTAGACTCGACAGTCTGATCACGATCCCAAAGCTATTGTCATTCCCGACAAATGCCAGCTTTAAGATTCAATCAAGTTAGCGCCGTTAACAGTCACCCATCACGCCTTTCCGGGAATATTCGCCTCATTCACCCTTGAGCGCGGTAACCGTCAGCGGGCCATATGACTGCGCCCGTATGTCATCTAGTGACTGCCTGCAGCGCTGGCAAAGGACCTGTCCACGCCGGACGTGCCGCACCTCTCCACAATCCGACCGCTGTTGGACTGGTAGGCGGCAGTCTGCACGCCACATCTCACAGTGTTGTGTTGGTCCAGACTGAACGGCTACGACCATCCCATTGTGCCACGGCTACACACGGGCAACACAAGTCGGGACATTTCTTGCAGAAATGGCCTGACTGGTCTGTATTAAAAACACGCAAATGCACTGAAATTGCTCTTTCGATGAACAACATTGTGCGCTTCGAGCCTGGGCTGACACTAAACAAGAACGTTCTACTCTCGTCGTTCCACAATAGGAACAAATCCCTGCTGGAAGTTCAAGAGCTGCGAGGTGCACCACGACAGACGCGTCATTCCCAGTCATCGGCAGAATCGACCTCCTCATCGCTGTCTGACTCCCTCTGCCTCTTAAAGACTCTCTTCTTATGCGGCCTCCGCACATGACGCGGCGGCGGCTTCCGCGGCGGCGGCTCCAGCACGTGTTTCTCCACGACGCAGCAGAATTCGATGAAATCCCGTGGCGCCAGCTCGATGACGCCGGCCAGCGCCTCGACCAGAAACCTGAAGATGAACGGCCAGCGTCTGGCCTCGGTGTCGTACATGTGAACCTTGACTCGCGGCTGGAAGCTGGACGGCCACGTGCGCGCCGCAACGCCGCGATGCATGTGCTTCTTGCTCCAGTTCCGCGGGCACACCCACACCTCCGTGCCGGGCATATACAGGCACAGTCCGCCGCCGCCGCCGTCGTCGTCACCGCCGTCGGCGGCGGGCTGCGGCGGCGGCCAATCCGGTGACACGTCTGCGCGATCCGAAACGAACTGCATCACCCACGGGCGGCGTTTTCCGAATCGCTGGCAGCAGACGCGCCGGCGTGCCGCCGTGCGCTTCACGCCCACCTCGACGCCCTTCGCGGCCAGGCTGCGCACGTGTGCCTCATCCAGCAGAAAGTCGACACGGGCGTCGCGCAGCTGCGCGCCGCGCGCCAGCAGGTGCTCGGCGGCGGAGCAGCGGGCCAGGCGGGACGCCATCGGTCGCAGCAGGTCACCCACGTCCGCAGGCGCCGCGTCCGCCTCCTTCTCGGCCTCGTCGGGCCGACCGAACAGCTGGCCGGAGCGCAGCATAAACTCGCGCAAGCGGACGGACGGGCCATGCTTGTCCGACTCGTAACGCAAGCGGAACACGGCGTCGCGCTGGAAGTAGTCGAAGAAGAGGCGCCGGTGCTGGCGTCGGCACGGGTCCACGCCGCCGGTCGCCTCCAGCGTCGGGTAGTGACAGCTGCCGACGGCGTCTCGACACTCGCGGAAGTGCTGTAGCCACTCGGCGAAGACGAACCAGCGCGGTCCGTTTGGCTCGGTGGCGTTGCGCGTCGCGGCCACCGCCGAGTTGCGCACTTCCGTCACGTCGTCCAGTCCGAGCAGTATCTTGAGCGTCACCAGAATCAGCGCCATGGCGCACGCCTCCGGGCGCAGGTCGTCCAGCGGCGGCATGCCGCGAGCCACGTTCGCCACCACGCGCGCCAGCTGCGTCGGCAGCGCCAGCTCCGACAGCAGCCGGTCCAGCACAGCACTGAGCGGGGGCCGCGGGTACGAGGTGATGCGCAGCACCGACCGCATCATCTGCAGCTGAATCCACATGAGGTGCACAGTCAAATGCCCATTCACAGACATAGTCGACCAGCGGTAGGTCACGTCCTCGGGGAACTCGTTGGAGGGCGAGAACGCGGACAGAATCCCCTCCCGCACCCAGCGCGCCATGTCGGAGAGCCGGTAGACCGGGTCGCAGTCAGCCAACGCCACCCAGATCAGGCAGAGCGTGCCGCGCACTGAGTACGCCTGCGTGTCACGCGGCCAGCGCATGCTCAGACAGTCCTCGTCGCGCAGCCGGCGCAGGTAGAACGCCCACAGCTGTGCAGTGCGCTCCGGCAACGCCTTGGGCGCGCCGGCCGCCACCAGCCGCGCCGTCCAGCGCTCCAGTAGGGTGTTCACCACCTCTTGCGTGGTGAGCTGGTGACGGCGCACCAGCTCGGCTTTGGCCTGCTTGCGCCGCTGCCGCTCGGCGCGCGTCTTCTCGCTGATGACGGTCGAGCGCACGCCCACGATGCGGCCAGGCGTGAACAGCTCGTCATTGACGAAGTCGCGCACATCCTGCGACTGGGTGTGGCACTCGTCGCACACAAAGAAGCCGTTCTCAATGGTGAACTCATCACCACCGCACTCATCACACACTGGCATCACCTGCCCTGGATTCAGCAGCAGGCACTGGTAGATGGCTGACCAACTGCAAAAGCAGCACAGCATAATTTATCAGACAAATGTTTACATGATGTTTTGCTATTTAACTGCCTTATCCATCACACCTGTGGGCTAGGTGACTCTATCTTGTTGACAAAAAATAGCATTTGACTACATGACATGAACACTGCATACCACATGATATTGTATATCAAGACAAGGCTAATCTTGCTTGTGTGAAAGCTGGATTTAGAGAGAGCAGCTGTGAAAATGTTTAGAGCATGGAATGCATAGCAGACAACATATCTTCATTATTTGAACAACTCTCAGCTTGATCTAATTTGATAGCCAAATCAAGAGACCACTCTTAAACTTTGGCAAAGCAGACATGCTGAAATTTTTTACTTTTAAACAACTCATGATCAGAGTTAAATGACTGCCACAATTTGAATGAGCAAAATCCACCCTGACTTTGCCACAATCAACATCTGGTTGAGGTGTTAACAACATAAGCATAAATAAATATGAACGACTGTCACTTCTCACCATCTTTGAGTTGTAGAAACTGGATTGGTTTATCAAGATTCATCATCTAAGGGTGGTAAAGCTGAAAAGGTTTACCATGACTTATCAGCAAGAGATAAGCAATGTTTTGCTTGAAGGTTACTTTATTAAGTTATTCCCATTGACCAAAAACTTAGTAATGTAAAGCATATAAATGGCATGCAGATCATGAAAAGCTGCTATTAACCTTGGTGTAGGTGCACACAGCATTCTTTGAACATGGCCATTCTATCAGAACCATGAAATTCTGCTACATTGTTGTCAAATGTTTTCATGTCAGCAATACTCAGTTCTGTTTGAAAGATCTCAATTTTAACCGAGTTCATGTAATCTTTTATTACATTCAGAATAAAAAGCAATTAAAAATCGATGGAATCAATCGCTGTGATGAGTTGGGCTTTACGGTACACCGAAACATGCTATAAGTTTGACTGTGCTTGAAAAATAAAACTTGATTTACATTAGGATTAAGGTGAAAAATACTTCCAGGCTTCGATGCAAGCAAACACCTACGGTACAGACGTGTGAACCAGATAATAAGCACGGAATTCATCAGCCAGATGTGGAAAAAATAATCACGTGCTTTCCAACAGACCTGAACTGCGATACCAAATGCACGTGTTGTAGTTCCTCGATAAACGCGCGTTTCTGTACCGTCGTGCTGATTTGTCACTACTGCGGCATGACAAGAATATACAGGTATTTTAAAATATTGGCATTAAGGTATGACTGTCGACACAAAAAGGTCACGTATATTATGGTGTCTTATAAATACAATTAAAATTATAACGGAAAGACACAAGTTTTCACACCATTTAGCCGTCTAAAACCTAACATATCCTTACCCTTTGGGTTTTAATGACTATACTTCTGGAATTCTGCACTAAAATGCTGCCAAAATGGGGATGGTGTACTACGACGTAATACTCGCCTCCCAATGCGGTAAGCCCCTTTAAATGGAAAAACTTAACATCATTATTGCGGCGTAAACCAATTATCCTAGCTAACTTAAATACACTTAGCGAGTTAGGAGCAGTAGCGCAGGCGTGGGGGGCACAGTGGGGCACGGCCCGCCCTTTACTTCCGAAGGGCCCTTTGGGCCCAATGGGATATGTCATTAAGGACCCAAAAGGCCGGCCGTAGGTCGCATTCAGGGACCCAGCCCACAAGGCTGGGCACTCCAATGCCAGTCAGGGGGCCCTGTACGCTGATCAGTGGTCCTGGGTGGACAAGGGCCCATGCATCGGTCAGACATCACTAATAACGCAAAGTATTCCCCAAGCAAGGACAAAACAGGAGCCAGCGATTTACATTGATCGGGGTCCCAGCATTTGTCAGGGACCACAGTGCTTACCAGGGGGCCCTGTGTTGGCAAGGGGCCCCGAGTCGGCCAGAGGCAGTGTTTGAGGAGGCCTGAAGAATTTGGAGGGCCAACTGGGGCAGACGGTCAAGGGCCCGGTTGGAGGGATTGAAGACACGAAGGGCTGGTCAGAGTTTCATTCAGGGGCCCCGACCTGCGGGGACTTTCCCTCAAACGACAGTCAGAGCGCTTTTGCGCCGATCCGGAACCACATGAGTCGATATTGGCCTTTATGTTGGCCAGGCGCCACCAGTAACGCACAGTCGGCACCGTGTCGGCATGGGCCTGACGACGCGCGTTCTAATCAGCTACAAAGCCGGGGCAGACGATTGACACTAGTCGGGGACTGCTGTATCTGTCAGGAGCCCCAAGTGTCCAACAGAGGGTCCTGTGCTCCTAAGGGGTCCCGAGCTAACCAAGGGCAGTGCGCAATGTGGCCTGAAGAGGGGCCGAGGGACTGGCTTTCGGTCATATGAAGAATCGTACCTCATGGGGTCGTGTCCTGAAATTTTAGCCAAAAGTCCCCTTGTACCATCTGAGGACCCCCAAAGGCAATGCACGTGTCGCAGTCGGCCAGAGGCAACGAACACCGAATAGTTTTCTCCCTGTCATTCTGAATTCTGCGGGCCCATTTCCAAGCAGGAGCAAGGCCGTGGACCACCATTTACATTGGTCTGGGTCCCTGAAACAATGGTTCGGGCCCCTGTCTGGGTCAGGGACCCACAGCGCCTAGCAGGGAGCCATGTGTTGGCTGGTGGCTCCGAATCGATCAAGGGCTTTGTTTGAGGAGGGCCGAAGAGGGGCCGAACGGTCCTAGGAACCAAAGATTGAGGACCTAATGAGAACGCCTTTTGTCCTCTTGATTGGAATTCACGGGCCCGACATACTGGCCGTAGATCACATTAAGAATGTCGTCCTGCTCGTAACGCCGTGTCCTCCAGTGTCAGTTTAAGGGCCTCTTGCATCGATCGGGAACTCCTGGGAGGGTGCAGGCCTCTATTTCGGCCAGAGACCACCAACACCGAACAGTCCGCTACGTGTCGGTATGAGCTCTGGGAGCCCATTTATCAAGCGCGAGCAAGACCAAGCTTGCGATTTGCATGAGTCGAGGTCACTGAAACCATGAGGGTGTCGGTCAGGGGCCTGCAGTGCCTAGCAGGGGATCCTGTGTCGGTAAGTGGTCCGGGTCACCATGAGCCGTGTTTGCAAGGGTTCGAAAAGGGGATCGAACGGTCCCTCGGGACCAAAGATTAAGGGCCCGATTGAATATGGAGCCTGGTTCCCATCCGTAGTGCCGTGACCTGAAATGTCAGTCAGAACACCTCCACTAGGACCCCCTTATTAAGTTTTTTATCTTTATTGTATGGGGCCTCGACACAAAGTCAACCAGACGGCTCCATGTCCGTCTAAGCCGCTGGACCCATTTCCCAAGCAGGAACGATGTCGGGGCCCGCGATTTGCGATGTTCGGGTCCCTGACACAATGAGGGGCTCCTGTGTCTGTCAGGGGCCACAACGCCTAACAGGGTCCTGTGGCGGCAAGTGGCCCCGAGTCGGTCAGGCGAATATTTGCTCAACAGGGACGGAGACGGGACCCCGAATGACGGAGGGCCGCTGGCCTTGACCGAAGCCCTCAAACAATTAAAGGAAACATACGACTTTACAATGAGCGTTCACGTTGAGGCAATGGAGGGATCCTGTGTTAATCAGGGCCCGAAGTACCGAACGGTGTGCCCGCCAACCCGATTTCAGCATGGGCCCGTTAAGCTGAGCTGGAGTCTTGTGCCAATTATTGGACCCCTGCGGCGATCTGGGATGTCGTTCTGTCATTGAGGGTCCCTGCGTCGATCCCGGCTCGACCAGGGGATCCCACCCCGTGTCGCCGGAATGGCAGCCGGAAGACATCCCGCGGTGGAACAGAATGGCCCTTCAGTCCTTCACCAGGAACGATATGTGCCCCCTAGTGTTCTACTCAAGGTGACCCTTGTCCGGAAAGAAATACAGGGTCCCATTAGTGTTGAGTGGAGTGGATCTAAATTAGCTAAAAAACGAGCAAGGTCATCAAGGTCATCCCATATTCTCCTGGGAACGCTCATTCATTTGCAGAATCGATCAGTGAAACAAATAACATCAATAGAGGTGAACCTGGCACCCAAAATCTCTGGAGCGAGGACAACGACTGCCTGGGTTTTAGTCTCCATAAAATCGGACGGCGTTGGTCATTGCATGTGACACTAGGCGGCGGGCGCTGTGCGCGCGAAAACGACTGTCGTGAAGTATTGGCTCGGAATGTCTCTCAAAAGTAATCGAACCGTTCAAAGTTCAGGCTGGGCTTATCATCGCTCAGCTTTGAGGTTGCCCTCTGGAGAGAAAAGTTGCTACAGCAGCACGAAAAATAGAGATTCTACCTTTACTTCTACAGTTCCACCAGATTCCCGCACCACTTCGCGGTGCCGTAAAGACCGATCCTTATTATCATCAATCTAGCAATCGCACCGGTGAAATGTACGCCAGGACTATCTTTTCCATGTACGATTTGGTGTCCTAAAGCTTTTAACGATGCTTGTTTTAAATGCGTCATCATTTTCATCCACTCGTTGGCCATGGCTTAATATTCGCTGCGAGATCGACGCTGTGCGGCCTATGGAGACTGCAGTGCCCGGCGTCGAGGTTTTTGTTGCTAAGATTTGCGAGCGCGTGTGCTCAAAGTTACGTTATATGACTTGTATCACTTATTTGATTTGACTGAATATTTAAGATTTTCAAGTAATCATGGCTTGGCCACGTACATACTGACTGTTGACCCATTCCTGTGTACAATCTACATTCGCAGGGTCCCTTATTCCTTAGTAGTGCCCCGAAAAATTGCTGACGAAGCTTTTGAGCGCTATCCGTTTAAAGAGAGTTCACTGGGCCATTGCGAAGTGGAGAGTACCGGCTATCTAATTCATGCAACCATTTAACATATAAGTTCCTTAGTTTATTGACTACAAATTTCAGGTGGACTTCGTCTGGTGGTAGCTTTTGGCCTTTATTCCTTAGCACAGCGCAATAAGAGATTTTCGCAAATTGTGATCAGTGCGTAGCCAGGCGCGTAGGAGGTTTGAAACTGGCCGAAAATCCGTAACTTTATTTATGGACGTTTCCACAACGAAACATTTTTGGTAAACTTCAGCTCATCTATAAGAATAACACTCGTCCTGATAGGGGGTCGGTCCGACTCCTCCCAAGGTTTTTGAGGACAGCTGCCTGGCATACCGTGCAGTCACGCACGCATTTTCATGAGCCTATGGGACATCCCTTGCATGTGTGTTTACATCAAAAACATGTTCCAAACATTTCTGGTTTCGAGAGCGGTGGCATTTTTTTAGTAATGCTGCACAGCGATCTTCTGCCTGTGCGGCTGAGGATGCCGCGGAGCGCTCGTCGCGGACCGACGTTGTTACAGTAATGGGAGTATGCCATCTTTTTCCACTTTTCACTTATTGTTGGATTAGACGCGTAAGACCTGGTTAGTGATACCAGTTTCTCCAAACCCTTCTAAATTGCCTTTAATTATAAGAAGTGGCCGCTCTTCCAGGAAAAATCCTATTGGACATCCTGCTCACTACAACAAAAGTAATATGCTACTTAGTTTGTAAGTTGCTCAGTGCATTTGCGAGGAACATTATTCGCATAGATAAG